CGCCGACCTGGCCCCCGCCGACCTAGCCCCCGCCGACCTAGCACCCGCCGACCTAGCACCCACCGACCTGGCACCCACCGACCTAGCACCCACCGACCTAGCACCCGCCGACCTGGCACCCGCCGACCTAGCACCCGCCGACCTAGCACCCGCCGACCTAGCACCCGCCGACCATGCCCCCGCCGACCTAGCACCCGCCGACCTGGCACCCGCCGACCTAGCACCCACCGACCTAGAACCCACCGACCTGGCACCCACAGACCTGGCACCCACCGACCTGGCACCCACCGACCTGGCCCCCGCCGACCTAGCCCCCGCCGACCTAGCCCCCACCGACCTAGCCCCCGCCGACCTAGCCCCCGCCGACCTAGCCCCCGCCGACCTAGCACCCGCCGACCTAGCACCCGCCGACCTAGCACCCACCGACCTAGCACCCACCGACCTGGCACCCACCGACCTAGCACCCACCGACCTAGCACCCACCGACCTAGCACCCGCCGACCTAGCACCCGCCGACCTAGCACCCGCCGACCTAGCACCCGCCGACCTAGCACCCGCCGACCTAGCACCCGCCGACCATGCCCCCGCCGACCTAGCACCCGCCGACCTGGCACCCGCCGACCGAGCAGCCGCCGACCTAGAACCCGCCGACCTGGCACCCATCGACCTGGCACCCACCAACCTAGCACCCACCGACCTGGCACCCGCCGACCTAGCCCCCGCCGACCTAGCCCCCACCGACCTAGCCCCCGCCGACCTAGCACCCGCCGACCTAGCACCCGCCGACCTAGCACCCGCCGACCTAGCACCCGCCGACCTAGCACCCACCGACCTAGCACCCACCGACCTGGCACCCACCGACCTAGCACCCACCGACCTAGCACCCACCGACCTAGCACCCGCCGACCTAGCACCCGCCGACCTAGCACCCGCCGACCTAGCACCCGCCGACCTAGCACCCGCCGACCTAGCACCCGCCGACCTAGCCCCCGCCGACCTAGCACCCGCCGACCTGGCACCCGCCGACCTAGCACCCACCGACCTAGAACCCACCGACCTGGCACCCGCCGACCTGGCACCCACCGACCTAGCACCCACCGACCTGGCACCCGCCGACCTAGCCCCCGCCGACCTAGCCCCCACCGACCTAGCCCCCGCCGACCTAGCCCCCGCCGACCTAGCACCCGCCGACCTAGCACCCGCCGTCCTAGCACCCGCCGACCTAGCACCCACCGACCTGGCACCCACCGACCTAGCACCCACCGACCTAGCACCCGCCGACCTAGCACCCGCCGACCTAGCACCCGCCGACCTAGCACCCGCCGACCTAGCACCCGCCGACCTAGCGCCCGCATACCTAGCCCCCGCCGACCTAGCACCCACCGACCTAGCACCCGCCGACCTAGCACCCGCCGACCTAGCCCCCGCCGACCTAGCACCCGCCGACCTAGCCCCACCGACAAAGCCCCCGCCGACCTAGCCCCCGCCGACCTAGCACCCGCCGACCTAGCCACCGCCGACCTGGCCCCCGCCGACCTGGCACCCGCCGACCTGGCACCCGCCGACCTAGCACCCGCCGACCTAGCACCCGCCGACCTAGCACCCGCCGACCTAGCACCCGCCGACCATGCCCCCGCCGACCTAGCACCCGCCGACCATGCCCCCGCCGACCCGGCACCCGCCGACCCGGCGCCCGCCGACCCGGCACCCGCCGACCTGGCACCCACCGACCTAGCACCCACCGACCTGGTCCACCGACCTAGCACCCACCGACCTGGAACCCACCGACCTGGCGCCCACCGACCCGGCACTCACCGACCTAGCACCCACCGACCTGGAACCCACCGACCTGGCACCCGCTGACCTAGCACCCGCCGACCTGGCACCCGCCGACCTGGCACCCACCGACCTAGCACCCACCAACCTAGCTCCCGCCGACCTAGCACCCGCCGACCTGCCACCCACCGACCTGTCAACCGCCGACCTGGCACCCGCCGACCTAGCACCCGAAGACCTAGCACCCGCCGACCTAGCACCCACCGACCTAGCACCCACCGACCTAGCACCCGCCGACCTAGCACCCGCCGACCTAGCACCCGCTGACCTAGCACCCGCCGACCTAGCACCCGCTGACCTAGCACCCGCCGACCTAGCACCCGCCGACCTAGCACCCGCCGACCTAGCAATCGCCGACCTAGCTCCCGCCGACCGAGCAGCCGCCGACCGAGCAGCCGCCGACCTAGCACCCATCGACCTGGCACCCGCCGACCTAGCACCCACCGACCTGGCACCCACCGACCAAGCACCCGCCGACCTAGCCCCCGCCGACCTGGCCCCCGCCGACCTGGCAGCCGCCGACCTGGCAGCCGCCGACCTGGCACCCGCCGACCTGGCACCCGCCGACCTTGCACCCGCCGACCTAGCACCCGCCGACCTAGCACCCGCCGACCTAGCACCCGCCGACCTGCCACCCACCGACCTGGCACCCGCCGACCTTGCACCCGCCGACCTAGCTCCCGCCGACCTAGCAGCCGCCGACCGAGCAGCCGCCGACCGAGCAGCCGCCGACCTAGCACCCGCCGACCTAGCACCCGCCGACCTAGCACCCGCCGACCTAGCACCCGCCGACCTAGCACCCGCCGACCTAGCACCCACCGACCTAGCACCCGCAGACCTAGCACCCGCCGACCAAGCCCCCGCCGACATAGCACCCGCCGACCTGGCACCCGCCGACCCGGCACCCGCCGACCCGGCGCCCGCCGACCTAGCACCCACCGACCTAGCACCCACCGACCTGGCACCCGCCGACCTGGCACCCACCGACCTGGCACCCACCGACCTGGCGCCCACCGACCCGGCACTCACCGACCTAGCACCCACCGACCTGGAACCCACCGACCTGGCACCCGCCGACCTAGCACCCGCCGACCTGGCAGCCGCCGACCTGGCACCCACCGACCTAGCACCCACCAACCTAGCACCCGCCGACCTAGCACCCATCGACCTGGCACCCACCGACCTAGCACCCATCGACCTAGCACCCGCCGACCTGGCACCCACCGACCTGGCACCCACCGACCTGGCACCCGCCGACCTGGCACCCACCGACCTGGCCCCCACCGACCTAGCACCCGCCGACCTAGCACCCACCGACCTGGCACCCGCCGACCTAGCACCCACCGACCTAGCACCCACCGACCTGGCACCCGCCGACCTGGCACCCGCCGACCTGGCCCCCGCCGACCTGGCCCCCGCCGACGTAGCCCCCGCCGACCTAGCCCCCGCCGACCTAGCCCCCGCTGACCTAGCCCCCGCCGACCTAGCCCCCGCCGACCTAGCCCCCGCCGACCTAGCCCCCGCCGACCTAGCCCCCGCCGACCTGGCCCCCGCCGACCTGGCCCCCGTCGACCTGGCACCCACCGACCTAGCGCCCGCCGACCTAGCACCCGCCGACCTGGCACCCACAGACCTGGCACCCACCGACCTGGCACCCACCGACCAAGCACCCGCCGACCTAGCACCCATCGACCTGGCACCCGCCGACCTAGCACCCACCGACCTGGCACCCACCGACCTGGCACCCACCGACCTGGCACCCGCCGACCTGGCAACCGCCGACCTGGCACACAGCAACCTGGCACCCACCGACCTAGCACGGGTGCCAGGTCGGCGGGGGCAGGTCGGCGGGTGCCAGGTCGGCGGCTGCCAGGTCGGCGGCTGCCAGGTCGGCGGGTGCTAGGTCGGCGGTTGCTAGGTCGGTGGGTGCTAGGTCGGCGGGTGCCAGGTCGGCGGGTGCCAGGTCGGTGGGTTCTAGGTCGGTGGGTGCCAGGTCGGTGGGTGCCAGGTCAGTGGGTGCCAGGTCGGCGGGTGCTAGGTCGGTGGGGGCTAGGTCGGCGGGTGCCAGGTCGGCGGGTGCTAGGTCGGCGGGTGCCAGGTCGGTGGGTGCCAGGTCGGTGGGTGCCAGGTCGGTGGGTGCTAGGTCGGCGGGTGCCAGGTCGATGGGTGCTAGGTCGGCGGGTGCTTGGTCGGTGGGTGCCAGGTCTGTGGGTGCCAGGTCGGCGGGTGCTAGGTCGGCGGGTGCTAGGTCGGTGGGTGCCAGGTCGACGGGGGCCAGGTCGGCGGGGGCCAGGTCGGCGGGGGCTAGGTCGGCGGGGGCTAGGTCGGCGGGGGCTAGGTCAGCGGGGGCTAGGTCGGCGGGGGCTAGGTCGGCGGGGGCTAGGTCGGCGGGGGCCAGGTCGGCGGGGGCCAGGTCGGCGGGGGCCAGGTCGGCGGGGGCTAGGTCGGCGGGGGCTAGGTCGGCGGGGGCCAGGTCGGCGGGGTCTAGGTAGGCGGGGGCTAGGTAGGCGGGGGCTAGGTCGGCGGGGGCCAGGTCGGCGGGTGCCAGGTCGGCGGGTGCGGTGCTAGGTCGGCGGGTGCGGTGCTAGGTTGTCGGGTGCTAGGTCGGCGGGTGCTAGGTCGGCGGGTGCTAGGTCGGCGGGTGCTAGGTCGGTTGGTGCTAGGTTGGTGGGTGCTAGGTCGGCGGGCGCTAGGTCGGTGGGTGCTAGGTCGGCGGGGGCTAGGTCGGCGGGGGCTAGGTCGGCGGGTGCTAGGTCGGCGGGGGCTAGGTCGGCGGGTGCTTGTGCGCCTCAGATTTGAGGTCCTCGTCATATTGATCACAGCCATGCGCTCAACCCTGTTCTTGCTGTTGCTCCTTAGTAGCGGTCTTATAAAAGGCAGCCCATCTTCAATGCAAAAGTTCTAGGATGCAGTAAGGCCTATCCGCAGCAGAAAAGGATGAAGGTATGCCAGGCGCATGGTTGACATTGGTTGAATTGCAGCTTTCCTTGCCGAGCACAGAACAATCATTTGCTAATTCGCCGACTAAGTCCGCCAAAGTTGCCCCAAGAACGATTTTGTCCATCGGCGATCGAGGCGATGCGTTGAGCCGTACTTGGACTTACTCATGCTCGTCCACATGTATACCACACCGTGCAGCTTAATCGTAAAGCTTTTTGCGTGATTTCGGTGAGAAACAGCAAAAATGAAGTTAGACGTGAACGCGCTGCGCTACCTCTCTAAAGATGATTTCCGAGTCCTCACGGCTGTGGAAATGGGCCAGAAGAATCACGAACTGGTACCAATTGAGCTAATTGATAGCATTTCAGGCTTGAAGCATGGCGGCACTTTTAAGAGCATTAAGACCCTAATGCGGCACAAGCTGCTACACCACGACAGCAAGTACTATGAGGGCTATCGCTTAACGTACATGGGTTATGACTTCCTGGCCATCCGCGCGCTGGTCAGCAGGGGCCACATTAGCGGCGTCGGCCGCCAAATCGGCGTCGGCAAGGAGTCGGATATCTTCGAAGTAACAAATGATGACGGCGAGGTATTTGCGCTAAAGCTGCACCGTCTTGGCCGCACGTCTTTCCGCGCGGTCAAGTCCAAGCGCGACTACTTGGGCCGGCGTCAGAACTACAGCTGGCTGTACCTCAGCCGTCTGGCAGCGCTCAAGGAGTTTGCGTTCATGAAGGCGCTGTACGAGCACGGCTTCCCGGTGCCCCAGGCCATCGACAACAACCGCCATGCCGTACTCATGGGCCTGGTCAACGCACGACCCATGGTGCAGGTGGGTGTGAGGAGTTGCGGGGGAGGCGGGAGGGGCGGGTGAGGGAACTGTCCTCATCCAACGGGCTCCCAACCATGATGCCCCGTTCCCGACTCCTATCGCCCTACTAATCCTCATCGCCGCCTGGCGTCCCCCCTCCCTCCCTCTTTTACCCCCCCCCCTCCAGATCCGCACCATGGCCCACCCCGCCAGCGTGTACCTCTCCTGCATGGAGCTCATATCGCGGCTGGCAGGCAAGGGACTAATCCACTGCGACTTCAACGAGTTCAACCTGCTCATTGGTGAGGAGCGGGGGGGGAGAAGAGGAGGGGCGAAAAGAAGATGGAAGGAGAAATACCATCCTGTGAAGGGCGGGGAAGAGGGGAATGAATAAGAAGTGCGGGAGGGGGAGCGGAGGAAGAAGAAATACCACCATGCTCAGCCATGCTGTGGACGATAGGGCTGCCATAACTGCCCATCGATGCCACTCACCCTTTAGCCCCAACCTTCCATTTCCCCCCAACCCCTTGCCCCCCCCCCCCCCCAACCCCTCCCACGCCCCCCTCCCCCCTCCCAGATGAGGACGAGGAGCTCACCCTCATCGATTTCCCGCAGATGGTCTCCGTCACACACGCAAACGCGGAGGAGCTCTTCTACCGCGATGTAGACTGCATCATCCGCTTCTTCAGCAAGAAGATCGGGTACGTGCCAGAACAGGATCCCAAGCTGCCGTACGTACGGCCTGTGTTTGCCGAGGTGGTTGCGGCTGCGGCGGCGGACGGCGAGGGTGCATTGGATGTGGAGTTGGAGGCGAGCGGCTTCCGGCGGCAGGACCAGCAGGCGTTGGAGGAGTACCTGGCGGGGGCGCGAGAGGAGGAGGAGGAGGAGGGGGACGAGGAGGAAGGGGAAGAGGAGGAGGAGGAGGAAGGGGAGGAGGAGGAGGGGAGAGGGGGGAGTGGCGGTGAGGCGGAGGGGCGGAGGGGTGTGGAGGAGGGGTTAGAGGGGCTTGCGACCGGGTGTGGGGCGGAGGAGCCGGGGGCACGACACGGAGAGGGCGAGGGTGCCGAGAGAGGAGCAACACGACGTGACGGCGGAGGCGCAGCCAGCGGCAGCGGCAGCGAGAAGGAGCAGTCGGACGGGGAGGAAGAGGCAGGGGGTTCAGGTAGCGGGAGTGAGGAGGATGGCGAGGAGGAGGAGGGGGCAGCCGGGCGGTCACGCCGAGGAGGCTCTTCACGGCCATCAGGTGGGCAAGGAGGAGCAGGAGGAGGAGGAGGTGGTGGTGGTGCGTCGTCCCGGCGCGCTAGGCTGGGTGAGCAGGAGGTGCAGCAGATCGTGACGGCTCAGCGGCGCAAGCAGAGCCAGCGGCAGGCCATGTCTCGAGCCACGCGCAACTCGGTCAAGGGGAACAAGGGGAGGAGGGGCAAGGCGTCGGGGGCGGATGGCTGGTAGGCGATAGTAGGGGTAGCGGGAGGTAAAGAGGAAACAACGAACTGACAACAAGAACTATCTGGTGGTGTGAGGAGGGTACTGTCGCGGTCGGGATGTACATAGTTGGGCAGGTTTCGGTGTCAGGAGTTGTTGCGGAGAAGGGGTACTAGAGGAAACTGACGAGCTGGTGCGGAGGAAATGGGGGTGGGGTAACATGGTGGCGCTGTGGAGGTGCACAGTGGGATACCATACCGGTAGATACTGACGGTAGAGTAGCTTTCTAGGGTAGGTATATTTATTTTTGTAGTAGATGCAGGTAGGAGGCCATGCAAGCATGTGCAGGATAGGTTGACGGTGTGGTTGGGCTTGGTGGGTGGGCGAGAGACCAGGTCAGTACGGGCGTTGGTGCTAAGTGCCAGTGCTCAGGATTAGGATGCGACGGGAAGGGTTCAACGCTTACACGCATTGGCGGATTATCACGCAGTGTGGTTATGTGGCACAGGGATAGCAACGGTACGGCCCTTGTATTGAACTGCTTTGGGTTAATCCTGCCGCAGAACTGACACAGTCTGACCCCGGGCTGCTATTCTGGGCAGCAGCCCCATGCTGGCGTCCCCAGCGGAGCCCTTTTTCCCCAGCCACGTGAGCTCCAATGTACGACTGCTTGGCCCAGTGTTCCACCCCATGTCCTCCACCCCAGCCAACAGCAACATCATCGCAGTCAAGGCCCTTCTGACCCTAGTGCTTTCTACGTTTTCTAAACGCCCACCGCGGGCTGCAAAGGGAACACCTCCCCCTACCGGTACCTGACACATGAAGAAACATCCTGCGTACATCACATTCGTTGTTTGTGCCCTTTTCCAGCGTTTAGTGCGCAGTTATAAGGCAGTACCTAGCAGCAGCTGCTGCAGCAACCAAGCACCGGATGGCAGCCGCACAGCGGCCGAACTCCCCGTGCAGCCCCTTCCCCGTTGCTCCGCTGCCATACACAGCATCCAAACACCCACACACACCCAACTCAAATAAAGCGCTCATCATCCGTCTCTCGTCCCCCCTCCCCCTCACACGCCCCAACAGGCGAACGAGTCATTAAAATGCACCAGCATAGCCCCAGCAGCGGCTGCTATCCACACCTAAATAAACCTACACCCTGCCCGGAATACCTACAGCTATACCCACACCTACCGCCTACCCCTGCCGCCGCCTCTCCCTCCTCTCCCCCCTCGTCCGCGGCTGCCCCCGCCTCGCCCACCTCTCCCGCCCCGTCCTCCACCTCCCCGTCCTCCTCCTCCTCGCCCTCCTCCTCCCCGTCCTCCTCTTCCCCTCTCACCCCCACCCTCACTCATCCCTCCCGCACCCTCCCCACCTCTCCCACCCCGTCCCCGTCCCCGCCCGCGTCCCCCACCCCCTCCGCCACCTCCCCGCGGCACGAACGACACCTCCCGACTGCCTCCCAGTCGCCGCGGTGGCGCCGACTGCGGCTCCGAAGCCACTCGCTCCGACAGCGGCTGGTTCAGCTTTGCCGCCAACGACTCGCCACGTCGGAAGGCCTCTGCAGCGGTGGCGTCTCGCGCCACAAACATGCTTGGACCCTTGCCGCCCTCCGTCGCAGTCTGCGCCTGCTTGGGCCGTTTCGCTGGCGGGCCCGCGGGCGGCCGCTCGGGTAGACGTTTGGAGTTGGGTTTCTTCTTGGCGCGTGGCGCCTCGGTGGACCGCTCGTCCATCTCGTCCAAGCTGTCGGCGCCGTCGTCGTCGTCTTCATCGCCGCCGTCGCTGCTGCCTCCACCTTCGTCTGATAGCACCTCCTGTGTTTGGTGAGGGGGTTGGCGGGAGGAGGTAGCGGAAACACATGGTGAATATCTTGTGCCGGACATGTTTGTCCGACAGAGACAAAGAAGGGAAACCGACGCCAATTCCTCTCGACGCAATGCCCAAAACAAAACTCCTGCGCCCCAGCCTCAGCAATTGCCACCCACTCCCCTCTTTTCCCCTCCCCCACCCCACCTGGAAGTGCTCCCGCAGCAGCTCCTCCTCATCCTTCTTCTCCCGAGCCGCGTTGGGGTGCAGCAGCCGGTACTCCTCCGCCTCCTCGTCAATCGTAAAGTCGGGATCCTCAAACATGGCGGAGAAACGCGAATCCGCAAGCGGGTTAGCCGCGGCGGCGGCGGCACGCTGGCTGGCCTTGCTGCTGCCGGCGGCGGCGGCGGCGGTGCCGTCGGCTGCAGCCTTGTCCGCATCGGCTGATTCGGCCATGATACGCGCCGCGACCTTGGTGTTGACCTGTTCGTCGTGGTTGTAAGTTGGTTGGGTTAGTTGGGTTCTAGACATTGATAGGACAGGCAGCTTCTTCCCTGCCCCTCTCCCTGCCGCCCTCCCTCTCCCACCTTTGGCAGCTTGCGGATGATGGAGATGCGGCTCTGTCGCTCCTCCTCCAGCTTCTTTGCGATGCGCTGCTGGCGGTAGGTCTCGTAGGCGAAGGGGTCCATCAGCGACTTGGCCTTGGCGTACAGCCTGGGGGGAGGGGGAGGCAGGAGCAGGGGAGGAATGGGGTTAAGTAAGGGAAGGCGAAGAAGAAAAGCATGCGAACAGTGGCGGCAAAGACAACTGCACCACTGCCCCTTTTTGCCCTAACCTGAGGTTCCGACATACCTTTAATCCCCCTCCCCCTTCCCACCCATATCTTTGATCCCCATCCCCATCCCTCCCACCTGTTGTCCACAAAGAATCCGTGCATGTACGCGCGCAGCAGGCTGGTCCCCAGCAGGTGCTCCAGCCCCAGCCGCCCCAGCTCCGCGCGCGTCACGAAGCGGTAGTCGTCGTACACCGCGGGAGCCGCCTCCGCCAGCTCCTCCGTGAGGCCCTCCAGGTGGGAGCACCAGCGGGGGGCGGGACCCAGGCTGGGCACGAAGTAGCCGTGCATGTTGGGGGAGTCGTTGGCGACCATGATGAGGCCTGGGGGGGGGCAGGGAGGATGGAAGGGGGAGGAAGGATGTGAGGAGGAAGGATGGTGAGGAGCAAGGAGGAAGAAGGGTAGAGGTAAGAGGGCAGCTCCTCATGACGTCATGAGGCGCAAGGGCGGCAAGGCGCATGGAGCGCGGAAGGGATGCTGCTGCTGCTACCGGGTAGCCATGAGCAGCGGAGGCTGCTGTCGCGATGTCGCTACATTGCTGCTGTCCAACGTCCCGCCCCCGGCTCACCCGAGTCCGGCCACACGCAGACGTCGTTGATGTCGCCCTCCTCGGGCTCAATGCTGGTGTAGCCCTCGCCGTTGTTAATGTCCCACACCTGCACAGGGGAGGGGGGTGGGGTCAAAGACCATACCAATCTACCAAACCATAGGGAACCACCGATTGGGGCAAGACAAGTGGGGGGGGACGATTGGCATGCGGCATCCATCAGACCAGCGCATACCGGTGAAGAGAACGGAGGACAACCCTGGGGGGCTAAGGTAACTAGAGCAGCCCTGCTGCAAATACCAATCCCTTATACAACATTATCTACCTCCCTCATACCCACCTTCACAATGTGCCGATCCGAAGAGATCACCCGCCGGTTATGCGCCGAAGCATCAGCGCCGTACGAATGGAACTTGATGTCCACAATCCGGCTGCCGTACATGTGATCCTTAACCACCAACGGTCGTTGCGATCGCAAATCGTACAGCGCAACCAGACCGTTGCCCGTACCAACTGCCACGTGCAGGCCGCTGTCGTCAAACCGCAGCGCCGTCAGCTGCTCCCCTGTGGGTTGTGCATGAGTGGAGTACAGCTTAAAAAAGAGGAGCATGCTAGGTTTACAGAGCCCTTGAAACGCGGGGTTGATGCCGCAACCATGCCGGAACCGAAGTTGCTCGAGCGTCAGCGCTCCACGACAGCACCACTTAACAGCGTCCACAGCCCACCGTTGGGGACTAATGCCCTTACCCTTCGTACCCTCCGTCTAAGTTTCCCCTGCCCTCTTTTCTCATCCCCCCTCCCCGCCCCTCCCCTACCTGGCGCCCCCGCCGCTGCCGCCGCGTCCAGCAGGCCCACCGAGGTGCGCTGCCGCAGGTCGAAGCACTCCAGCTGCCCGTCCTCGCCCGCCGCAGCAAACAGACCGTGCGAGGGGGACACGCCTGGCGGGCAGGCAAACCAGGCAGGCAGGCACACCATACTCAGGTTTGGGACTTGGCTTGTAGTACTGCACGCAACGCTGCGAGCGGCATGCAGTGCAGTGTCAAGATCCCACACCCACTTCCAAGGCGCCTCTCCAACCTTCGCCGCGTGGGACTTCCACATGCCCTCAGCATCAGCCCCAAGTCATTGCCAGGCGGCCCCCGCCGTGCCTACGCAAAGCCATGTCCGACCCCCCCCCCCCGACCCAAACTCCTACTGCTACCGCTGCCGCTGCTGCTGTTTTCGCTGCTGCTGTATACAGAATTCCCCCCATCATGCTGCTGCCTTCCTCCTCCCCACACCCACTGACTGCACCACCCCGGATGTCTCCTTCTGCCCGCAGCATGCTACCCGCCGCTCCCACCTACCGCATGCGTTGACAGCCGGCGAGGCCGAGGGCAGCGGGCTCATGAATCGCCCCTCCTGCAGGTTGAGGCGGTACAGCTCGGGCGCCGAGGCCGCCACCAGCAGCTCCGCGGAGGGTGAGAAGTAGGCCAGGTCGCGACCGAAACGGGGCACGCGGGTGCGGTAGTAGGAGCCTGGAGGGGGTGGGATGGGGTGGGTGGATGTTCACGGGGCTGTTCAGGAGGGTTGTTCGCAACGCAGCGGCTGGATGGGGAAGGGATGTGGTCCGTGGTCGCACGGATGGACCCGTGCTGCCATGCCCTGCTCTCGCTGTTTGGGGCTCCGGGCAACTGGTACGTAAAGGAGCGGGAGGTCTGTCGCTGCTGCTGCTGCTCTCGTGCGTGCATGCACGCGGACTGCCTTACCGAATCGCGCGTGGAAGAGCAGCGAGCGGTCGGAGCAGAGGAAGGCGAGCTTGGAGAAGTCATCCGACAGCACACAAAAGTCCACCACCTCCGCATCCAGGTTGCGCTCGAACTTCATGGCCAGGTTGCCCAGGTCGAAGCAGCGGACCTGGGGGTGGTGGGATGGGGCGGGATGGCGTGGGCGGGATGGGATAGGATGGAGTAGGTTGCGGGCTTGGGTGTGGTTGTGGTTGTCACGTGAGGTGCGAAGCGGGGTTGGGGGGTTGCTCTGGCCGGCCGACCCAAATCAACGAACAACCCAGATCACCCAGCCTGACCCAGATCAACCCAACCCCGCAAACTCACCGAGAAGGGGTGGTAGCCCGACGCAAACACATAGTTCCGATCGGGCGAAATCTTGATGCGCTGCGCAGCAGACTTGAAGCCAAAGTCCTGGATGAGCTCCAGGCGACGCCGGTACTCCTCATTCTTGCGCAGCGACTTCTTCTTGCTCTCCGCCAGCCACTGGGGCAGCGTCTTGCCGCTGGTGATATGATACACCTGGGGACGGGGGTGGACAGGGGGTTAAGGAATGAGTGGGTTAAGGAGAAGCAGGAGTGAGACAGGTGCCAGGGGCAGGTGGGAGGAGACGGGATCCAGACGCGTGGCGGTTGTGGGAATGTGTATGAAGAGGGTAAGCGCAAGCAAGCAGCAGTGGCTTTAGTACGCGGCGGCGCGGAACTTTGTGAGAGGGGGACATAATGGAATCCTGAAGGGTGGGTTAGCCGCTGGCGCGGGTCTGCTGGTCGATGCGGCCGCCGTCGGGAGACGCACGGCCGCACCTTCTTTGGCGCTAATCAGAGTCAATTGAAGTGCTATTCACATGAACGGTATGTCGCCTTTCCGTCGCCACGCTTCCGGCTGTGTGCGACAGGCCCCTATGCCAAACATCCTGCCGAGCCGACGTGCATCGACGGGGGTGCCTCAGAGACGTGACGCACCTTGACGCCATCCGGCGCCGACACCTTCAGCGTCATGGTTCAAGAACCGATGTCCTAGTGCGACCAGCGGCAACGCCAAGCCTCCCGTCCGCTGGCACTACCTAACACCCGGCGGCGCCAGCTCAACAAATCACGGATATGAACCCCTTAAGGCGTTAGATGGAAACTGTATAGTATCAGCGTCAATATACAACTACTGTCGGGTGCAATTTATGTAAGAAAACAGTAACAATCTTGGGGGTGTTCCTAAGATACAAGACGGTGCAAATCAAACTGAAAAGGTGTATGCGTTGAGCCAAAAAGCATGAAAGTAGGAAAAGAGAGAAGCGCCAAGAAGAGCGTACGACGCTTGTCGTACACTCTTCTGCTGCCCTGACTGGGCACCAGGTCCACGAAGCAAGGAGTCCTGCGACCTGTGCGACGTATCAACCTCACCAACGAGTTTTGCTTATTGGGCCGGCCGTTTGGCGACTGGTCCGGCCCTCAGGCCGATCCTCGCGAATACTTTGAAAGTTTTGGAAGGAGCCCGCTTTTGACCCTCGGAAGGTCCAACCAACCCCATAGCGCTCTAGGTTAGTCATAAGGACCTCAATAGGCGGCTTCCCTTAGGACGCCGCGGTCGAAGATAGCGGACCCACAGAAGTGGCGCCCGTAAGGCCCAGTTTGGACAGGAGGCAAGTTCTCGACCCTCGATTTTCCAGATGACGTTGCCCAGGATGGAAGATAAAAATGCACTCTAAATACCTGTCATAATCTTGGGTGATTTTATGTGTTCAAGTCGATAACCATCACTGCCATGCGTACTGCATCACACAGAAATGCTCTCTGACTGTCAACGGGCAGTACTGGGATGTCACATGGCAGCAGGCTAGGCCAGGGAAACGCAAAGGACGCTTACGACGTTTCGTTTGTCGTTACACTGCCTGACAACGCACGGAATTCCAACTTACCGAGCCCTCAACCTTCCTCCCCGGACTACCCGCGCTACCCCGCAGGCACTAGCATGGTGTCTGGCTCTTCAATTAACCCTCTGCATCTTGTATTTCAGCATTCGGCAAGTCCCTACGACCCCGAGTTTGCAACGACAGCTGCAGCCTGCCCGGCAAGCCCGCACCCACGCGATAGGAAGCGCGCAGCTCCCACGTCCCCACAACGCAACTCCGTTGTCTGTGCCGTCCTCCCCTCAACAACTGCTCTTAACGAGCGTGCTGTCAGCCCTTCATCGTCAACCATTTCTGCGCCCGGCGCAGGCGCGACGCCTATGACCGAGCGCCTTGCGCTGGGCCGCTTCTCAGCCTCTACCCCAGCCTTTGGAGCGCAGGGCATGTCCCCGCTGGACCCGCTAGCCGATACGCGCGGCCATAACGGCCTGTACGCTTCTAGGTCCCCATTTGAGCACCCTAGCAACGTGCAGGAGGCCACCGTCGCTCTGCTGTCCGACGACAACAACCAGGTAGCAGCAGCCAGCCATGTCGAGTTCTCAGCCGCCCCGACGCCAGCAGAAGGCGGCCTCGCTTCATCAGCAGCAGAAGCAGCCGAGGCCGAGGCGGCATCCGCCCTAGAGGAGCCATTTTCACACCCCATGCTGCCGCCGCCGCAGCCATCCCTAAGCTCCATGGGCACGCCAGCACGCTCCCGCATCGGCAACATGCTCTTCGGCCCCCCCTCAGCAGCCGGCCTGACCCCCACCGTGCTGCCCGACTCGGCTCCCCCCATGGGCTCCTCCCTGTGCGAACACATCTCCCGCACCGCCTCTCTGCCCCTCATGATGGGCGGGGCGGTGGTGTCGCAGGGCGTGTCGCCCGCCATACCCATAGCCATCGCTGGCGTCGGCGCAAGCGGCAGAGCGCGCGCCACCACCGTCCACGCCCCGCCGTCGGCCGCTACCACCTCCATGGGGCTAAGCGGCGGCGGCGGCGGTGGCACCAGCAGCCTTCGGCCCGTCGCACAGTCGGTGGATCACAGCTTCTTCCCGCCGCAGCCGCAGCCGCTGCTGCAGGTCCAAGTGCCGCAGGGCTTCCTGCAGGGCACGGAGGCCGGTGCACCCGCCACCTCCCCCGCGCAGTTCATCGGATCCTTCAGCCCCGGCGGGCCGTCCTTCTTCGCCTCCCTGCCTGGCACCGCCGCCGCCGTTACCACCACGGCTGCGGACACATGCCCTGGCAGTCCGAGACCCCAGCTCCAGGCCGGCGGCACCGTAGACGATATGGTGCTCACGTCACCCAACGGCGGTTCCGCGCCGGGCCCCAGCCGGCAGGGGCCCGCGGTCGAGGACGGCATAGGAGACCCGGCGGCTGCGTTGGGCAGCCCAGGCCACAGCTCCGGTGGTGCACAGGGGTCTCCCGTGGTTGCGCCCCAGAGCCCGCCGCATGCGCCCTTCTCGCCGTCCCGCCATGGGCTCGGCGCGATAGCGGCGGAAGGCGAGGAGGAGCGCGGCGTGGGCGCCGGCCGCAGTGCTGCTGGGGTGGCGCATGAACAGCAGGAGCAGGACGCGGAGGAGGAGGAAGAGGACATGATGGATGGCGCCAGCAGTCTGACGGGCAGCAGCTGCGGCCGCCGTACACAGCGGCGGCAGCTGCAGTACGAGCGGGTGGTGGCGCCGGTGCATGCGCATGCGGACCTGCACCCGCGCGACGCCACCACCACCACCACCGACACGGACGGTGACGAGGAGTTTGAGGACGCGGTGGAGGTGCAGCACGACGATGATGACCATGTGGGCTATCAGGGCGGGAGGTCCCACCGGCGTCCGCAGCAGCAACAGCATGAGGAGGCGAAGGCGGAGGAGAGGCCTTACGGCCGGGAGGGCGGAGGCAGCGGCAGCGGCGGAGGCGGGTACCACCACCACGGCCACAGCCATGACCTGCACCGCTGCCATTTTGTGGGTGTGGCCTCTCCAGAGCACCCCCTTAGCGCGGCACTGGGCATGCATGGCCCCGCCATGCATGCCGGGGAGCTGCAGGAGCAGGAGCCGCCGTACCCTCCCTACCACCACCAGCTCCACATGCAGCAGCATCCGGGTGGAGTGGTGGGCGGTGAGGGGCCGCTGGGTGGGCTGGGGTCGTATCGGCTGGCGGACGGGTATGAGGATCTGGCGGAGGATGATGAGGTACTAGAGGAGGCGGAGGAGGAGGGCGGCTCGTGCCTGCTGGATGCGGATGAGGGGCTGGAGGAGGACGAGGAGTTTGGGGAGGAGGAGGAAGAGGAGGAACACGGCATTGCGGCACGGGCGCGGAGTACGGCAGGAGGAGGAGGCGGTGGGGGTGCCGTTGGTTGGGGCAGCGGTGGTGCCGTGTTGGGGACAGCAGCGGCGGCCTCCCCGGCGCACTTTGTAGCGCCGTACGTAAACCAGCAGCACACGTGTATCAACTGCACGCGACCGTTTTGGGGCTCCGTGTGCTACTGTGGCCACCCTGCCAACACGGAGGTGGTGGTTCCGGAGCTCCTGGCGGCTGCCGTACGCAGCATGGTGGAGGGCCAGGCCGCCGCTGCCGTACGGCAGCAAGCAGCAGGCGAGCCGCAGGGGGCTGGGGGTCGCGGCGAGGGGGTGCTGCTGGCCTATGATGACCGGTGCAGGGCCCATCTGGAGGAACTGACCCCTGGGTCATCTGAGGACCAGGGTCGCAGCCACCCCGAGCGCCCCGAGCGAGTGGCGGCCATCATGACGAGGCTGCAAGCTACCGGGCTACTGGCCAGGTGGGAGGGAGGCGGAATACAGCGCAATACACTACGCTTTTCCGTACCAAGCCTGCATGAATCCGCACATTCGTCGCATGTCCCAGCGAGCCCTTAATTACCTCTTCGCCTCGTGGGTACTGACGTGTGTCCCTGTCTTTGGTTTTCCCCCGCAGGTTTGAGCGTGTCACGGGTCGCGAGGCCACCCTCCAGGAGCTCCTGGCAGTGCACCAGCCGGAGCTGGTTTCGGAGCTGCAGGCCGCCACGGAGGCCGCTGCCCGGCTGGCTGCGCGGGAGGCGGCACGACATGCGGGTGCTGCCCTGGATGAGGAGGGCGAGGAGGACCTGGAGGCGCTCGGGCTGCAGAAGAGGTGGGTGACTGGGTGGCGCTGCTTTTCTGGTGGCGGGTTTAGTGGGTGGTCGGGCTTGGCGGACCACAGATAGCGGCGAGACCTGGCTGTGCGGCTGTGTGCCAGATTCTCCTCCTCTCATGTGTTGCTTCCTCTTTGGACCCCTCCCTCCCCTCCGCAGCCCGCACATCCTGGACTGCTACTTCAACGCCTCCACCGCCGGCTGCGCGCGCCTGGCTGCCGGTAGCGCTGCTGACGTGGCTCGCCGAGTGGTGTGCGGCGCGGCCCGGCACGGCGCCGCCATCATCCGGCCGCCCGGCCACCACGCCGAGTCGGGGGTGGCCATGGGCTTCTGCTACTACAACAATGCAGCCGTGGCGGCGAGGGCTGCCCAGGCAGCGGGTGCGCGGCGCGTGCTGATCCTCGACTGGGACGTGCACCATGGCAACGGCACGCAGCGCATCTTCTACGACGACCCCTCCGTGCTCTACATGTCCACACACCGCTTCGACAACGGCAGCTTCTACCCGGGCACGGGGGACGCGACGGAGGTAGGGCGTGGGCAAGGGGGGCAGGTGCGGGGGGCTTGCGGCCTATAGTGCGCATGAGGGACAAGGGGGCTGCCCTGTGCTTCGCTACTACTTTGCTAGAACCCCACCAACCACCCGCTCCCACCCTGCCCCCTGCTTCCCTCCCCAGACCGGCTCCGGTGCGGGTCTGGGCTTCACCGTCAATGTGCCCTGGAACGGCTCCGGAGTGCGCGACGCGGACATGCTGGCCGCCTTCCGCCACGTGCTGCTGCCCGTGGCCGCGGAGTTCCGGCCCGACCTGGTCATCGTGAGCGCCGGCTTCGACGCAGTGGAGGGCGACCCGCTGGGCGGCTGCCGCGTCAGCCCCGCCGCGTACGGCCACTTCACCGCACTGCTCAGCTCGCTGGCGCCCACCCTGCTGCTGCTGGAGGGGGGCTACAACCTCTCCGCAACCGCTGCGGCCACGGAGGCGTGTCTGCGGGTGCTGCTGGGGGAGCAGCCAGCGCCGCTGCAGGGAGGGCCGGGAATGGGGGCGCCGGCGATACTGGAGGCGCATGCGGCGCCGGCCGCAGCCTTGGCTGACCCGTGGGTCGCTGCGGCCCTGGACGGCGTCTCCGAGAGTGCCATTCAGTCGCTGCGGCTGGTGCTGCGCGTGCAGAGCCAGCTGTGGCAGGCGGCTCGGGAGCGGCATGTGCTGCTGGAGGCGGCGCTGGAGGAGCGCAGGCAGCAGCAGCTAGCCAGGATGCAGCAGCGGTCTCCTCTGCAGCCTCAGGAGCACTGGGGCTGGCATGTGCAGATGGCGCCGCTGCCTTCCTCTCAGCCGCACCAGCATGTGCATCAGCTCCAAATGGGGGAGGTACTTGACAGTGACGACCACTGCCAATCGCGTCTGCAGCATTCACTGGACGACCCAGCCAGCCATATCTCCATGCCAGAGGATGATGGCGACCTGGCGGATCAGGATGCGGAGCGCCCTCGGCGCATGGATGTGTCCATGAGCGGCATCATTGACCTAGGCGAGCAGCTGATTGGAGACTCGCCCATGGGCTGACCCATGGGTCAGGCCGCCTAAATGTCTGGAAGATCTTGGTCTTCTTGTTACAACAAGGTAACAACCTACTTTGGCCTGATTTAAACGTCTGGTTAATGGAAAATACGCAGCGTATGGGCGATATTGGAGCGACGGCGGCGGCGGCGGCCCTTTGGTTGCTTGGGGAGAACCGGTGGTTTCATGGGATTGCAGACCGTTAATAGACTTTTTACGGTTGTTAGTAGTTGGCCATGTCCCAAATTGGGTGCTCCCCGCCGTGTGGGCGGTTGCCGAGCCCAAGACTATGAACGTAACTTACAACGCCTAAGCACAAAAAAATAAAAATCGCGGATGACGACGGTTGTCAACTGGACGAGTAAAGAACGGACGGCGGCCGGACGGCGGAGCTCACATCACCTTCAGCCATTGGGGGAGGCACATACGGCATAAAAGGGGCGGAAGGCATGTTAGTGGCATGGAATGGGTGGCATGGAGGTTGGCAATGTTGCATCCGGTTTACACTCTGTTTCGCCGCGGCGGTGCTTGTCGCGCTACGAGCCCGTGGGCCTCCTGGATACCGAGGAATAGCGGCCGTCGGCCGTTCGGGATGTTGCGGGACGTTTGGTGGCCGCAAGTGGAGTGTATGATGTTGTTTCTTCGCCGCTTTCTGTTGTCGGGTGAACTGAGGGGCTTCCTGGTCCGTCTATCGTACCAGTCCGAGGGAGTGCGTGTTTGAGGAGTTGTATGTTTCCTTACATGTGAAGAGAGGCGCGGCTTTGCACACGACGGACGGTCGCATCGCTGAAACGTGCTTGGGGTGTTTTCGGGTGCCCTGCTCTGGTAGTGGCGTGCACATGTGGCCGACTGAGGTGGGTATGTCCGGCTTCGCCGGGCCCCTTCCAAACGTGCTCTTGGGGCCCCATCATCATTCAGCGTTTTTGCTTCGGCTAAGCGCGGCGCCCAATGATTGCCCCGATAAAACAGTACGATCGCCCCGGCCGGCTGATTGAATGTGCACATGCCGCTAGCATGCATTACATGCAAAAACGCAGGGGTCTTGCAAACGTACATACACAGAAGGGGGTGTTGTTTTGTTTCATTTTCCAACCGGCATGGGCGGAAAGCGGCGGGCCTGCAGCGGACGGTCGAGAGCGAGCTCTTTCCTATGCTGTTGGTGCTTGCTTTCAACAGAGGCAACAACGGCCCTTGGATACAGCCGCCTAGTGTGTGCATGTGGGGGGCATGTGGGCTGCTGCTTGTGCGGAGGTGGAGTTTTGGGAGGTTGCCATGCAGCTATACGCGGCTGCTGGGAGTTGGCTGGGGGGGGGTGCTGGGTGGTCCTGCGCACGCAGTCTTGGTGTGTGAACTCGTGGCGTGAGGGGGTTGAAGAGCTCCAGGACGATAGGCCGTACGATTGACATGACTGATTGGCTGACTGACAAAACGGTGGGCTGACTGAGGCTGACTGAGAGTTTGTTGATTCATTGCTAGAAGAAAACCTGGGGGCAGTGGCTGTGTTGGGTGGCTGCCCGCTATTTTGTTTCCTCCTCTGGTTCTGGTTTTCAAGGCATTCGGTTTGTCGGGTGCCGCCGCGGTAATATGGGCGGGCCGCTGCAGATTTGGAATGACGGTTGGTGTTTGGACGTGTTCGGAACTGAGTGCATATTTTTGTTTTCCCTGGGTAATGATGTCTTGGCATACGCGGAGCGATGAAAGGAGACAAGCATGCATTACCGGCAATTCTGTGACTATGCGACTGTATGCGTGTGTAGTGCGTGTGCCGTATTGCAAGGGTAATGAGTGCGAGGCGAGAGGTGGTGCGATGGGAGGTCGGTTGGCGCATTCACGTTTCCAAGAAAGGTTTTCTGTAGACGCAGCCAACGTCGTCTGGTACGGTGTTGGCTATCCATGTTGCATGATCCTGGTGTGTATCATACCACTGGGATATTCCTGGGCCTTTGGGTCATGTAATTCACCTATGTACATGACAACATGAGCGCTCGCGGTTCAATATTGGTATCTGCTTGTCATAAAGCGCAAGCAGTCACAATAACAAATAAATAGAGGCATTAGGGGTTGCCCCGTCGAGATCAAAAAAGCCCAGATAATCGAAGTGATAATTAACACCTGCGTCACCATTGCAGAAGGAAGGAATGCCTGGCAGTTTGCAAAGGCAGCGGACTGTCAAAGCAATCCACTTCAAACCTTTGTCAAAAGCATGAATGTACGACAAGATGCGATCGCGAGGTTTCTCAGTTGCCTTGCTTTAGTGCAAGGCAGTCGACGTAACACCCAGCTAAACCCCAACACCTCTCACAGCCAACTGCCTCACAGCACCTTGACACGGTCACGACAACAACATCCACAAATCCGTTCGCGCCATCGCCTTTCTGGAGTGCCCTCTTTAACATCTCCCAGCCCAAGTCGGAAGGCCTCATTGCATGACGCCTCACACTGCCCTCTAGGATGCTCCCAGTGAACGCTGCTGCATCCTGGCTAGCTGCTGCTGCCTGCGCTCCTCCAGCGCAGCCTCCAGCAGCACATGCCGCTCCCGCGCCGCCTGCCACAGGTAACTCTGCAAGCGCAGCACCCGCCGCAGCGACTGAATGGCGCTCTCGGAGACGTCGTCCAGGGCTGCAGCGACCCACGGGTCAGCCGAGGCTGCAGCCGACGCCGCATGCGCCTCCAGTATCGCCTGCGCCCCCATGCCCGGCCCTCCCTGCAGCGGCGCTGGCTGCTCCCCCAGCAGCACCCGCAGACACGCCTCCGTGGCCGCAGCGGTTGCGGAGAGGTTGTAGCCCCCCTCCAGCAGCAGCAGGGTGGGCGCCAGCGAGCTGAGCAGTGCGGTGAAGTGGCCGTACGCGGCGGGACTGACGCGGCAGCCGCCCAGCGGGTCGCCCTCCACTGCGTCGAAGCCGGCGCTCACGATGACCAGGTCGGGCCGGAACTCCGCGGCCACGGGCAGCAGCACGTGGCGGAAGGCGGCCAGCATGTCCGCGTCGCGCACTCCGGAGCCGTTCCAGGGCACGTTGACGGTGAAGCCCAGACCCGCACCGGAGCCGGTCTGGGGAGGGAAGCAGGGGGCAGGGTGGGAGCGGGTGGGTGGTGGGGTTCTAGCAAAGTAGTAGCGAAGCACAGGGCAGCCCCATTGTCCCAGGCCGCAAGCCCCCCGCACCTGCCCCCCTTGCCCACGCCCTACCTCCGTCGCGTCCCCCGTGCCCGGGTAGAAGCTGCCGTTGTCGAAGCGGTGTGTGGACATGTAGAGCACGGAGGGGTCGTCGTAGAAGATGCGCTGCGTGCCGTTGCCATGGTGCACGTCCCAGTCGAGGATCAGCACGCGCCGCGCACCCGCCGCCTGGGCCGCCCTCGCCGCCACGGCTGCATTGTTGTAGTAGCAGAAGCCCATGGCCACCCCCGACTCGGCGTGATGGCCGGGCGGCCGGATGATGGCGGCGCCGTGCCGGGCCGCGCCGCACACCACTCGGCGAGCCACGTCAGCAGCGCTGCCGGCAGCCAGGCGCGCGCAGCCGGCGGTGGAGGCGTTGAAGTAGTTTTCTCGAATGTGGGGGCTGCGGCGGGGGCCATGGGTTTCGGGTTCAGGTCGTATGTTCCAGCGATGGGCATGTGGGCTACCTCCCAAACCACTCTTCGGGTTCATACCGGTACCAAATGTCCAGCCAATGTTCGCCTGCCCGGTGCCAACAGACATCGTTTTACCGCTACCACCGCAACGGCACCCCGTCACCTGTCTTATCATCACCTGTCTAGAGCATCCATCTCTTCGAGTACTACCGCCGTCTCACTCAGCATTCCGGTGGCCTTGGCCTTGGACCAACGAGCAGCCCGCTGCGCCGCTGCCTGCGCTGCCTTCTCCACCGCCGCGATCAGCTGGGGATCATGTACGGCAAGCAACTCCTCCTGACTCGCATCTCGACCCTGGGAACACAAACACCTGCATAACAGCAGAAGTCGGGTTATAGAAAGCGGAGTGGAAATTGTCCGTTAACAGCAGTACGGCTAACATGCAACGTCGGCAACTGGGATAACATCGTAAGTTACTGACAGCTGTTGTAACGTCCAGTTTTACTGCAATATCGATACAAAAGACGTCGGAACCTTTCCTTCCCCTGCTCTTTCCTACCTGGCCAGTAGCCCGGTGGCCTGCAGCCTCGCCACAATGGCCGCCACTCGCTCGGGGCGCTCGGGGTGGCTGCGACCATGCTTGCAGTCCTCCTCTGTGGCATCCATTGACCCGGGGGCCTGATGTAATCGGCACCGGTCATCGTAGAGAAGAAGTACCGAGTTATGAGCTGACTTTGAGGATAACTTTGGTTTCATTACTTTCTTAGTCGCCTGGGAATCTTGCATGTACTGAGCGGCAGCTGCAAGCAGCTCCCATTCCACCACCTCGTGTCGAACTGGATGGCCGCACACGAGGCAAGCGGTTCTGTCTGGGTAGAGCAATTTATTGCAGTTTATGCAGTTGTGTGGGAATCGGTCTGTGGCACGGGGATAGGACAAGCCCCTGGCTTGCAGCAATGCCGACGGCCTTTCATTGGCTCGCACAGTGGTGAGGTCCCTCCTACTACCTAAGCATGAGAAGAATAGGCATTTGAAGACCATTGGGAGGGCGGATGGGTATGGAGTGCGTCTAAGGAAGGTAGGTTTGCAACCGTAGGCTGAAGGTCTCTTCGCTATGGCAACAACATACTGACGTTGGAATACGCATACTTCTACCTGCGGCATTACCTTATACATAGGCGGAGTCATATCGCTCCGTATCAACAAGTACCGCACTACCGGAAGTTCGTTGATTTCTGCATGCTGTACTTCTCAGTTCCTCCATGCCGAGCGGAGCAGGTATCCACGCTATGGAGCGCGGCACACGGTATATTGTTAGTCAGAGGTAACTCCGTCCTTTTGGGCGGGTCATGCGTCAATCGGACAGTTACACGCGTCGTCATACCATGCTATGGCGTTAGGCCCCTGACGGTCTGGTCCTCTTGTTGGACGTAAATCGAGGAAAGTGTTCCTTGTGGCTTGTACATAGGCAATATCATGCTACATTTAGCAGAACGGTGCCAGGTGAGCGGGTCCGTTGGAGGTAGCTCCAGGGCGGGGGTAGACCAGCGATGCTCTTGTGCGACACATGAGCTCCTTCAATTATGTTCATTAGGAACACATGTTTAGCAATAAGACATACATGACATTAGACCTTTTTACTATTTCTACCTACAGGTAACTGATTTGTCTTGTCAGCACGAATGGATTCACCTGCGAAAATCCGGAGGCTGGAAGGAGCGTCAGCCGCGCGTCAAAACACGGGAGACCTGCGATATGAAAGCTCATGCTACGCCGACGCGCGCTTGGCTGACGGGATGCCTCCAGAGCTCCTGCAAGTAAGTCTCGGCTCGCCTTCAGCTTCGGCAACTTTCTTAGCGTGTTACGGCGAAAAGGCTCGAAGTTCAACTCAAACACCTCGTAGCGCGACGGCAACATGATTGCCGGGACTACCTGTGTCGTAGCCTCTTCCAGCTCGACACGCAACCCCTCCTAACCACACAGCCGCCGCCTACCAAACCTAAATCCCCCCCTAACTCTCCATACCCTATCTGTCTCCTTCCTTTCCCAACCCTCACCCTTTCTGCACCTTCCATGCCCTGACTTATACAGTTACAGTCTGTACGCGTGTACTTGTGTCCGTACGAGCCAGGGGGGGCAAGGACATATATTGTAAAGCTGTCTTGGCGATCTGGGCTTACATGGATGGGTCCTTACAGTCAAAACACAGAGGTGGGCACGAGCTGCGCGAAGTTGAAAAATAATTCCTGACACCCCTGCGCGAGCTTGAAAAATAATTCCATTTAATGGGGCTGCGCGATGATCACCCGAAGGTACGGTACTTTGCATCACGACTGCATTATGCTTTGCTGTATCTTCGGCACACATAAACGGCCCCTAAGGAGATACACAGAAGCCGTAAAGATAGCGTCAATTCCCGTCTTTTATGCCAGGTGTACAGAGGTATAGTCGACCGAACACCGACGCGCAAGACGGCACATACGCTTGGTTCTGCCTAGCTTCCAAAGGAAACACCCCTGCCTAGTAGGTGGGCGACAAGAGAGCCTTGCCAATGGTGACGTTTTGTGCATAAGGAGAGGGACGCTGCAACGCTCCATACGCCCTTTGCTGTGCCTGGCATAAGAGGCGCTCACGAACACTCAAGTTCTGCTAAACGTGGCCTTCCTACAGTACCGGTATATGCACCGCTCCCTGCATCCCCTTTGACCTAACACCCGCCGACTTCACACCCTTTCACAATTTGGCAGGGAGAGAAAGTGTCTTCCTCGGAGCTGCAGAGGAAGGTGAAGGCAGTCCTGGAGACGGCATTGCAACCGGAGGAGCTGGCGCTGCTACTTCCCCAGCTGGGCCGGTTGGAGGCATCCATGCTGACTCCAACAAGACCAGGTGGGCTCAAGTGCCAAGGTGTTAATGAAACGGATGCCTGCCAAGGCCGTGGGGCAAAAAGAGAACCTACAGTAGGTCGATGGTTAATATCATGAAATTGACCGCCGCCGGGTCCAGCCAGAGCCCCCCGAAGCAAGTAAGCATAAAACGAGGGATGCAGGGAGGAAGGAAGGGGGTCTGGAGGGGTTAGGGGAATAAAGTATGTTGTGACCACCCTTCCCCCGGGTGCGGCCCGACACCAGCGTTCATTGCGAACTACCTGGACAAGGTGCTTGTGGAGTTGTGTACTGCACGATTGTGCCACATCCATGCAATGCTGTACAGCTCTAATGACATGTGCAGTATGCGGTGGCAAACAGATGGACTTTGATAGGTTGACTGTTTTGACCCTGTTGTCGACAACCGTGCCTTGTGTCCCAGTATACCGGTATCTGCCCCGTCCACACACAGGAGGCCCATCATCAGCTACACGCCGCCAAGCTCCGGAACCAATCAGGCGCTTCTGGCGCGCCCTTTTGGATTCCGAGATTACCGCAGACAGCTTCTTGGTCCTTCCCAGCGGTGCCTACCTTCTAGGCAACCAGGAACGCGGTGGTGCGCTTTTCATCCGTCGCAGCTACCGGGGGCTGTTCGAACGCATGAGGTTCCTGAAGGACTCGGGTACTAACAAGCGGTTTCTTGTCACGGGTGCGTTGGGCTTTGTTGGGGGCTTACCATACCACGCAGCAGGCGTTCCAGTCCTAAATCCTTGTTTGCCTGCTTTCCAGCCTATTCACTACCAATGCCACATGTCTGCAGCTTTAGGTTTGGTAACTTCCTTGCATTAGCCTCCATTGACTATTGTATTCTTGCCCTGCTTTCTTGGCAGTCACCTTTGACTATTGAACTAGACACCACAGTTACTCCACATCGCCCACGTCATCGTTTATTATTAACTTGCTACCATCTTTTCCCACCCTTCTTCGCTTGCATGCATCCAGGTACCCCCGGTATTGGCAAGACCTGCTTTGCTGTCCCCCTGATGGGTTGGCTGGCCAAGGAGAAGATGGCCAGCAAGATTGTGTACCAGCACCGCGACATGCGGTACCTGTTCAGCACCTCGAGCGGTGGCTCTGATGTCGAGGAGGGGAGCACCTCAGACTTCGAAGAGGAGCTCCAGGACCCGGGAGTTTGGTGAGCATAACAGGGTCTCGGTGCATGGCATGGCCTGACACATGCACGCTGTGGGCCTAAATGCACATTGTTGGGAGTAGACAGGGTAGAGGGTAACACCTGTTGTTTCCTCGTCAGCAGAAGTGCTGAAATGTATAACTGCCGCCTGTCCACAGGAATTCTGTAAAGTCCGAGCCACTTCGTACGACTGCTGCATGCATGCTGCTATTCCATTCATGGTGTATGTATGTTGCTACCGTCTCTGTTTCTGCATTTTGCAACATGCAGGTGGATCGTGGACTCGGGCACCGCTGTCGAGCGGCCTGCCAACACTGTGCTCCTGTCGTACCCTGACCGGAACCGCTACAAGGAGTTCCTGAAGCTCCTGGGCGCCACCACTCTGTACATGCCGGTCTGGACGGATGACGAGATCCAGGAGTGCAGGTATATCAGCATCAGGAGGAATTATGGGTTTGGCCGGCCTTGTTATCCAGCATACATGCGGATCACATTTGTGCAGTTTTAGCCCCGCCCGTATGCCATCTATACCCAGAAGAAGGCTATGTTGGGCAGAGGCCTCACCATGCGCTGGCTGCATCCCTCCACTGTGCAGGACACGGCTGTTCCCGCGCCTCGATCCAGCATTGGTCGCGGTGCTGCAGTCTAAGTGGGGAAATATTCCACGCTACATCCTCGAAAAGGTGTGAGGTCTTTACCTGCTTGAGGGTTGCTTGGTGTGAGTCAGTTGTTGCACACTCTTTGCCAAGTGCATCGGCAGCTTACGGGAGGGAACGGCTTAGCCCCCGGCCAGCTGCCTTGGCTTATGTGGGGCAGGGAAGTTAGGGACGTGCGGGCGCCTAGGCTGCCTGTCCTAGCTAGCCAGCCGTTCTGCTTGAGTGAGTTCAAGCATCTTCAGTTGGACGTACCCACACCTCAAGGCATGACAGGACGAGTCTCCATCCCCCCTATCGCAGCCGAATATCCCATTTGATACCTGTTCTTAAAAACTTTCAACCTGCATCCGCCCCCAAAGCAGTTTCTCGCACGCTCCTGCCACTTACATCCACGCTAAGGGTCCTAACGGACAAAGTAAACTCCACATCCTAACAAAGTCCTCCAGCACAGCCATCACGTCCTAACAATGTCATGCCTCTCAACATGTTCTGCAACATGTCACCTTGGCTGCAGGCTGAAGATTTGCCTTCACAAGCAAGACTTGACGAAGCGTTAGACACCTGTAAATGGGACGACCTGCGACGCACCATCGGCTGTCCGGGCAGTGGGCCACATGCCTGCCACATGCTGCTACACCTGCATGTATTGGGCTCAGAGTATAACCAGAAAGTCATGAAGCTGGCGTCCCCGTATGTAGCACGCGAGTTGGAGTTGCAGGCGGGGAGTGCTCACGTGCAGCGGCTGGTGCAGCTGGTGAGTGATGCATCTTAGGGACGCGGGTTGCCGCTGGTGGTGGTGTTGGTGGGCAGGGTCGGGGTCAGGAATGGGAATTTAGGTGTACGGTTGGGACCTTGGGAGTGACTGGGGGTGACATCTATGAGTTTATGGTTATTGCGCCCCCACCCACCTGCCCACACTCCCTGTAACCCACCAAGCCTGTGGCCCCACACCCTCCTGTCTGCCTCGCTAGTCGCTGGTTTGTCCGGCCTACACAGCTGCCGCTGGCGCCTTCTTTCAGAGCTATGCGCACCGCCTCCTACAGCAAGGTGGTGAATTCAAGGTAAGGCAACACATTAGCCAGCGGAAGAGTGCAGTGCGTGGTTAGTGCTGGATGGTTCTTCAGGCAAATGCAGCCTGGCTGGGCAGATAGTCTGCAGACCTGCTCAGTCCATAACCCAGCATGGTTCTTGGCACGCAGGTGCGGCGGTTAGGCCTGGACGACAAGGCTCAGCCCACCACACTGCAGCTGCCGCCAGCACCCCACACTCACGTGTTCACTAAGCTGGAGGAGGTGAGCCAGCAGAAGGACGGCGTGTACTGCATCCCCAGCAACCACAACCTCGGCCAGCTAATCTTCTCCGTGCGTGCATGGAAGCTGACTTCAGACCTAAACCCCTGCACCGTTTGTTTTCTAATGGGCTAAATCGGTATGCCGGTTCTAACGATGTAGCTGTGCGCGATAGCTGCGGCCGCTGGTACATATGTCCTATATGTCCTACCTGTAATGGCATGTCTACGAGCGAGGCACAGGCGCGGGTTTGCTGTGTTGCTACCGGTAGTACTTGTAAGTGACATCGGACTGCGCAATGGGATCTGCAGTAGTGTGGCCCCGGTTATATACAACTAAAGCTGGTCGTTTGGTACTTTGTTGCCCTACCTAACGTGTATGCGTACGGAAGCTATTAGTATATATAGGAAATGGAGTTACGTTAATGCCGTGGGACGGTAGTTGCTGCGGAGAAGGAGATTACTTGATTAGGCGCCGTTGTTTGTCGCATGGGTGTGATATGTGCTGTATATATAGCGGACCATGAAAGCGTCAAGCGACTGCAGCAGCCTTCTGCCGTATGGCCCATGGGTCCATGAGAATTCCCACTGGCTCCCATCGTAGGTGTTGTTGTTGCGGCAAGCTGAGAGTCCTTTCATGTAAAATGACAAGGATTTGCGGATTATGCGCGCCCGAAGTCTTCGGATGTCTTAGCGCTTATGCAGCCGGACTCCCTCTTCCAGATGACCGTCACGCAGAAAGTCAATGTGAACGAAGACGACCTAAAAGCCGCTGTGCTCCAGCTTCGCGGCGCCAAGCGGTTGATGTATTTTGTCGTACCCACCGGCTTGTTCGAGTCGTACAAGGTTGTGAACAACGTTTCCCCGGCCATCGAGCAGTGGGTGCTGGAGGTGCCGTGGGTTTAGTTGCCTGGCACAACTCGGCCGCGCCACATCCCCACATGCGCTTGGGAGGACGTGGGGCTGTGCTGGATTGCGGCTGCTGGTGTAAGGGGAGGTGGGAGTGCAGTTGCTGGCTGTCACGAGAACGGAGTGTGCTGCAACTGCGTTGTGAGGAGGGATAGGGAGCAGGAGTGATGAGGGGAATCAAAGATCGGCTAAACCATAGGAAACCAGGAGTTAGGGCAACGCAACGGGGATAGGAGGCGAATGGGTTTAGGGGAAGGGGTGAGGTAAGCGAGTAAGGAGATACCATTGTTTCTGAGTGGAAAGGGCAATTCACTGCTGTGGAGTGCGCAAAGATAGGGAGTGCGCAGAGAGGGTCGGGACAAGACCAAGACTGAGATCTCGTAAGCCTGAAGCTGCTGTTTGTGCAAGGGGATGCTGGAGAGGAGCTGAACGCATGGAAGAGGAGCGGTGGAGTGAGTGAACAATTGAAGGAGAGGTGTATTGCTGCATGTACAAACCGACCATGTATACTTCCTGTGTGTTTTATTTTTTGCACTATTTTTCCCGCATGTTAGCCTGGTCTTCGTTGTTTTGGGCGCATGTGGCCTGTACCTTTGCTGGGCATGTACGTTTTTCGAGCGATGGATGTACTTTTCTTGCCAGCAGGCCGCCCCACTGGGGCTACCTGCTTCCGGATAGCAGCCGTCCAGATGGAAGCAGCTGCGGTTGGCTTTGTACGGCTAGTACACGATTTTAGGCGTGCATTGGGTGCCATTAATAACAATAGGACATCATGGGCTGCCAGACGTGCATGTAGCTGAAGCAGAAACGGTTGCTGCTGATTCCCTATAGCTAGTGAGCCACCCGTCCTTTGCCTGGGTGGTTCTCACAACCACGTCTGGCTCGGTGGTTACAGAGTCCGGGCCCTTCGGAAGGCATGCCAAGCCTGCATTTTATCAACATTGGCGTCGATAGCACTCCAGCGCACGATGACTTTACGATTTCTACCATCTTATTTTGCAGCCCTCCTAAGGACCAGAACTGACACACCGGTACCCTGTGGCCATACCGTACCACACACGTAGTCGGCACAAATGACTGTATGCGCTCACTGGCCCGAGATGCCGGGGACTTCTGTGGTGAAACACACTACTGGCTGCTGAATGGCGACACAGGGTCCACTACCCTAACAGCAGCTTACAAAGTGACCCTTGGGTCGGTCTTGGACTGCATCGCGGCTTGGCTGCGAGTGCAGAGCCAAACGCATCATGGCTTTGCAGCGGCTCATGAAGGTTCTGAAGGGAAAGGAGCCTGGAGGAGCATAAGAGACGCACGTTGGAAGGGTTCGGGCCGCATTGCCGCCCACCAATTTGGGTTTCATGCCGGCCACCTGTTAAATCCGTGTGAGTGCCGTACGTGGTGCCAAGACATTCTTCGTTACAGCGCTTCCCAGCAGCCAGTGACCCACACCAGGGCTGCGTCGTCCTGAGATACGCTCCAAGTCCAAGCGCGCGTGTGTTTGTGGTAATGCATGCGCCTTTGGCATTATGTAGCAGCTAGGTGCGACAAGGTTCGGTACTCCTGCTCTTGATACGCCCTTTGACGCCCCAATCGTCTACACTGAGCGTGAGCGTTCTTTGCGTGGCATCCCCCCATCCCCCATATTCCCATGCTTCCCCCCTCCTCCTCATGCCCGCTGGTTCAGCGACCGCGCCCCAGACGCCCCGGACGCTCCGCTGGGCGCCGGCACGGAGCGTGTTGCGGGTTGCGACATGCCGGGTGCCATAATGGACGCGGCGGCCTGCGCCTGCTGCAGTTCCTCCGTGACGTTCGCAATGCGGTGGTTGGTGCGCTGGATGGATTCGGAGAGCTCGGTGTAGTGTCGCTGGGCCTCCTCGATGGAGACCAGCAGCGCCTCGCGCTTCTCCTTTTGGACCTGAGAGGCGGGGAAGGAGGTGGTGGTGAGGAGGAGGAGGTAGCGAGGAAACAACTAACTGACTGTGTGATGAGGCGTCAGGAGGGGCTGAGAGGTGGAATAAGAGTGGGTTTGTAGCTGTGTGGGCACTTGCGGAGCGGGGATCTGACGTGTGTTAAGAAAACTGGCCGCGAGTGTGCACGTATTGGACACCCATCATGCACGCTCACCACGTCGTCATATGGCTGATACCGGTATCGCCCCGCTTTCTTCCGCAGCCCTGTTGTGCCTGCTACCGGTACCTCTCCCCGTGCAAAACCCTAAATGCCCACCCCACAGCACCCCGCCCCGCCCCATCCCACCCAACACCCACCTCAATATCGTCCAGCAGCTGCGAACTTGTGATGTTGGAGCCGCTCTCCTTGATCTTGCGCCCCTTGGCGCGCAGCGTGTCCCGCTCCGCCTTGATGCGACCCAGTCGGTCGCGCTTCTCCGCGAGCTCCGCCTCCAGGTCCGCAAGCGAGGCGGCCAGCGCCGCATTCTCCTTCTCAATGAACTGCAGCTTCTCACGCACGTGTGTCAGGATCTGTGGAAAGGAGAAGGAGAGAGAGGAAACAACTACCGGTAACTGACCGTGTGATAAGACAAGGCGTCATCATGGTTTGGGAAAAAGGAGGGAGCGAGGAGGGGGAAGGAGGATGGTGGGGAGGAGTGGCAGGAGGGAGGAGAGGATGGAAGAACTGGGCAGAGAGCGTGAGTATACGGATCGGTAAGTTCTTCTCGGATGGCCAAAATAAGCTCCCAGGACCTTCCCCTACGCATACCGGTATCTTGACCCGGCAACCCAGCCACCCAACTGACGCCCCCTGTCGACCAACATCGCCACCCTCGGGCCTTGCTGTTGGCCGAAGGCAGTGTTTTCCTCGCGGCTCGCGAGGTCCTTTACCCGCGGCTCTCAGGTTAAACACACCCGCACCCACCTGCACACCTAGCTCAGTTTACCTAGTCAGTAACCACCCACCTGCACCGTGGTTGTGGTCTTCTTCTTGAGCTTCAGCAGCTCCTCATTGCGCTCCTCGATCTTCTCGTTCAGCGACTGGTTCTCAATCTTGAGCTGCTCAAAGTCAATCAGGTGAAGCCCCTCCGCCAGCTCCTCCTTCTGCCGCAGCGTCTGCTCGATGCGGCGCAGCTGGTTGGTCAGGTGGATGTTCTTGAGCCGCACCCGCTGCACCTCCTCCTCCTTGGAGGCGTCTGGGCGGTGAGGCGGCGCGGGGAGGGGATAGGGTTAGGGTTGGGAGGTTAGGACAGCGGAGGGTGGGTCAGGACAGCAGGCAGGCGTGCGGTGCGCGACGGGATGCTACAGGGTGATGATGATGGAGATGCCAATGGGTTTTCATGCCTCAATAGGCCCCATGCTATGCGGATCTCCGTGCCAGTGCTCTGGAAAGCTTTTCATACCACTGGACGGGGTCATACCCAGCTGTACGAAATCAACCACATTCCAGCCCACCCACGGCCGCCTACAACAGCCCCCCCCAGCAGCCCCCCCACCCCAAACACACACACAGCAGCCCCCCTGCCACCCACCATCCGTCTCCAGCTGCGCCAACAGCTTCTCGCTGATGGGCCGCCCCGTCTTGCTGTGCTCCGCCGACTTGGCCACCTCCAGCCGGAAGTGCTTGTAGGCGCGGGAGATGTCATCGGCACGCTTGATGCGCTCCTCCAGCGTAGACTTCATGTCGAAGATGGTGGTCTGGTAGTGCGACTCCACGCTGTCGCGCTCCTCCAGGATCTCGATCCACTGCCGCAGCGCCGCGCGGTACCGTGTTGCAGCGCCGTCCAGGCGGGACAGGTCGCGGTTGACGGGCGGGCGGCCCTTGTTGCGGAAGTCCAGGGCCATGCGCGCTCGCCGCTGCAGCGAGTCGTTGGCCTCCATGAGCCGAGCCTGCAGGAGTGCCGTGTGGCATGGGTCCGTGAGGGCGGGGGTTGCAAAAGGTTGGAAGGAGAGGAGGGGGAGTGATGGGGAAGCCAGGATGGCAGAGGGGGGCGAGGGATGGTATGGATGGATGAGGGGCAGCGTGGTGTTGGGGAACAGGGCTCTCCGAACCCGGTGCAGTGACTGGGGTTGTCCCCATTGCCGGCGTATACACAGCAAAGGGTATCAGCAACCATTGAATGAGACCTCCAACACGCCCTCCTGGTCACTTTGTAAGCCCCTCGTAACCCGGTTGCGGCGCCTTACCTGCTCCTGCTGTGCTCGCGCTATGAGCTCCTCTATGCTTGGCCCCAGGTCCTCCTCCTCCTCTTCCTCCGCCGTCATCTCCTCCTCCGGTTCCTCTTCCACACGCTCCTGAAAGCCGGGAGGCCCAGAGGGGGAGAGAGGGGGGAGCAGGTTTCATGGCTGCCACATGGAGGGGAGGGATAGGAGCGGCGAGGCATGCGGTGTACAGCCGCATGCACAGCCGCTTCCATGCTCTACCAGTTTCCTGACACATACACGTCACTCGCATTCCCGGTGCCAGAGTACGGTACCGCCCCGTCCGCAGCACCCCCAGGCGACGCTCACGGCCTCGCCTTCCTGTAGCGTAGCCCAGCCTTTCCCTTCCCTGGTCCCACCTTTTAACACCCCACCCATAACGCGCCCCTCCAAATCCGAGCCCCGGATCCATCCACCCCGAACCCCGACCCCAGCGCCCCCACCATGAAATCATCCTCGAAGCCCTCAATCTCCTGCGCGATGGCCGCTGAGTTGGGTCGCGACCCGCGCAGGTTTATTACCGCCGACCCGGGTCGGGAGTACTGCAGAGAGCTGCTGTCCACCGAGCGTGAGCGCTGCGACGCTAGCGCCTCCAGCCGCCCCGGCATGGGCATGTCGTCATCCGAGTCGCCGCCCCCCGCACCCAAGCTGCCTCTCCGGGCGTCCTGGGGGGAGCCTGTGGTGGTGGATTTGGGGGGAGAGCGCGCGGAGGGATGTGGGGAGGGAGCGTGCGAGGAGAGGCGCGGATGTAGTGAGTGGTGCGCTCCTAGCACGCGTAGGCGTCACGGGCAGGAGCATGCGGCGAGTGGCGGTTTGCTTGCTTCCCGGCTTGGCGGGGTTGCAGCTGCGCAACCCAGGGCAGCGAGCCCAAGTTCATACTTCCCCGTCCACTCCATATGGGTGCATCGTACCTAGCGGCGATGCGTCGTACTCCGCCTGTCCTTCATCCATGCCCGGTGAGGTACCTAACCCTTGCCCATCGCCACCCTACGTAGGGAATGAGGGAGGGAGGGTTGGTGCCGCTTCGTTGTGCACCATGCCATCGTCCTGACGGTCGCCACTCTTGCAATGCTTTTGTCAGGTGGGCCCTCGTACGCTGAGAGGGTATGCTACGCACCGTGCTATCGGCTGTCCCGCTTCTGCCATTGCTATATATCCCAGCTCCATCGCCTGCAAACTGCTCCTGCATATGCGTTGAGCCACAGACCGCTCAATCTTGCTGTGCTAGTTGAAGACCGCGGCACATGGCATTTGTTGGCAGTTTATAAGCAGCTAAGTCTCACCCCTTGTAAGCCATCTTCATTCGCCATGTGGCTTACAAGTTAAGATTCTATATGGGTATTACGAAGACGTCACTGGAAGATACAAGACTAAGACTTTGAAAACATCGAGAGACATAGTAAACGACGTCAAGATTGGCTTACGCTATACATCAATTTGCTACTTGCAAGGTATCTCTAAACGTCTTGGCTAAGCAAAGGGTTCGGCCCATATTGTTTCCCTGCCGTACATGACGAACACACAACGCCTCGGTTGCCTGAACTTCTTTGAGTGTCAACTTCTTTGAGTGTCGACTTTCGTAATGATGATGGACATGCTAGGCAGGTGGTTATTTCGCCTTTGTTGTGGGGTAAGCCTTTTGGATATCTTGGCTTTTTGCAAGCTAGGACATCTCATTGTTATACCGTTCGGCTGCATGCGTGTGGCATCTTTGAATGCGCGCAATTTCGTGTGCATCAATTTACCATTGCGACTCGTTCATTGCCTCGTTTCCAGGTCGGCGGTATCGCTGGGCTGGGCGTCACGCTCCTATACCTTTTCCAGGACAAGATTGTAAGTACAGGTCCTTAGATACAAGGAGATTCATCCGAGGGTTTCACGCTGACTGCAACACCTCCCACCCACGTGCCTTTGTCCCTCGATGCCCTTCTGCTCCTCTTCCAGCTGTACGTACCGCGCATCCCAGGCCTGCCATCTGGGATATGGAAGTACCCGAACGAGTTTAAGCTTGAGTATGAGGTAGGGCGCCAGGTGCTTCGCTTCCTACACAGCAAAGCACCCTGCAGCATGGAGGATAAAGTCCCACGGCAGGTGCGACATCGCATACGTCCCCTCAGGACGTGGACTTGACGGCAGAGGATGGCGTCAAGCTGCACGCATGGCTCCTGTGGGGCCGTGGCTGGACAAAGGAGGTCATCAAGTCAAGACCCGTCATTATCTTCTTCCAGGTGCGGCCATGCAGGTGCTGTCGCACAGCCTCCTGGAATACGGTATCCGCCGAGCTAGACACCTTCGCAGTTGGGTGCTCTGACAGGGCCGGTGTAGGTTCTGTCCTGCTAGCAAGGCGATACTGTCTTACCCTCCGCCTCGCCCTTACCCTAAACAGGAGAATGCAGGCAACATGTCCTTCCGACTGCCGTTCCTGCGGCTGCTCGTCTACCGGCTGAACGCGGTAGTATTCGCAATGAGGTGAACGCACAAAAGTGTGGGTTCCCTAACCCCTTGTCTCCACTTTTGTCCTCCGTCTGCGTGGGCGGTTCTCTGTAGAGCTTTGATGCGCGTCTGGCTGCCGCAGAGCATGGTTAAGGTGATCTGGTTTTTACGGTATCCTGGATTTCTTATGTTCAGCCTGTTCAGCCTTTGCTGCGGCCCAATTGCGTGTAGCTACCGCGGCTACGGCCTCAGCGAGGGGCGGCCCAGCGAGGAGGGGCTGCAGAAGGACGCCCGGGCAGCGCTGCAGTACGTGCTGTCACGACCCGAGCTGGCCACCGACAAGGTGGTACTGTTCGGCCGCTCGCTGGGAGGAGCAGTAGCCACGCATCTGGCGGCTGAGAAGCAGGAGCTGGTGAGAAGCAGGAGCTGCATGCGCCGGCTGCATACGTGGATTGCGGGTTTTGCCTGAATCCTCCTACAATGCTGCCACTCTGCATTGCAGCCACGCTGTAGTGATTGCAAATGGCCATAACAGGGCCCCTTGCATGTGCCTGCAAAGGGCCCCCCTACCGGTAATGACTGAAGCTTCCTGACGCATGGTGCCGCTGGTGCAGATCAAGGCCTTGGTTCTGGAGAACACCTTCACCGGGGTGCAGGACATGGTGTCGCGGGTGGTGCCGCCGCTGGGGCTGCTCATAGGCACTGGCCGGCCCTGCAACTTCCTCATCACCAACAAGTGGTCCAACCTGCAAGTCATCCCGCGCATCAAGGTTCCCATGCTCATGATGGTGTCGCTGCAGGTGTGTTGCCTTCTGGCACTGGGTGTGAAAATGCCTGGTAGGCATGTAAAGGATCCGGGTTTTGGCCAGGGCTCATACAACCGCTACGTGCCGCACAGTACGTAGGGCGGTATCGTGTTGCCAATGTGTTGCCTGGCTTTCCCGTACATACGCAGGATGAGATGGTGCCGGCCAGCCAGATGTTCCGGCTGCACGCGGCACAGACCTCGCCGCACTGCGAGCTGGAGAAGTTCAAGGCCGCATCCCACATGGATGCCTATGATGTGGAGCCGGAGCAGTACTGGGGCGCGCTGCACCGCTTCGTCTCGACAGTGTGCTATGGCGAGGAGGGCGCGGTGCCGGCCAGCCGATGAGAACTTTGCTACTAGCGGTGTGTGCGCGCGTTGCCGCAAAGCATGACACTCAGCTTTCAACTGAGGTGAACGATGTGCCCCCCAGGCGCAGATTAGCGTGCACCGAGGGGTGCCGTACAAAAGATGTGTTCATTTGAGTGCATGTCTAAGGCTGCGTCAACGTCGTCGTGCATGTCAAGTGGAGGACTCGGAATGCCTACATTAGGCTGCATAGCAAGGGGCATGCAGGTATTTTGTTGTTATCAGAGCAGATGGAAGGTCTGAGTAGAGTCTACAGGAACCAGGTGAAAGGACACGGTGTAATTGCCCGTTCAACGAATGTGCGTCGATCATACGCCGGGATATGGCAGACAGACACTTCGGACTGGACTATTTGTACTGTTGCAAATGTGGTAGAACAGACTTCGTGCACAGCCCATGACCGCTCACAGTTACAAATTCTTACGTCCCCTTAACGGGCAATGACGTAATTCGATTGCACAGCTCCCATGCACGCTATATCCATTTGTCATTCCGTACTAGCACAACTTGCACGAGCGCTTGCAGCTGTCCTTCATGAAGCCTGGGTTCTTCTGGCACTCTCCAAAGAACGCCCATTCTGAGCACTGCTCATTGGTGTCATGGCACTCCGGCGTCCCGAGGTTTACGGACTTCTTGCCACTGCACGTGCGTACATCAAGGACGGAGATGAGCACAGCCGTCAAAAGCGCAACGTTCAGAGCGCAGAGTGTACTTCAATGTTGTCTGCGCAAGGTGAAAGAAGCGTGCAGTAGCGCATCGGCAGTGATAGCGTGTTAGGGGCCGTGAAAGCGCATTCGGTTTACCTAGCAGCCGATTGCATGCGTGCCATGTGCGTAGCCCGCGGCAGTGTGGGCCTAGCTGCTAGTATAGGGCCAATCCAAGGGGATTCTACGCGGAGCCAGCCACGTCAACCCAACCGTTAGACCCCTGCTGCGGCATGTACCGTTGCATTCCCCTCGTGTTGTGAGGCAGCGTCCCCCCTCCAAGCAGCCGAATCCCACACGCCTCATCGCAAGACTCACCCAATGGGTCCCACGTGAATCCATTTGGTTGCACTCCACTTGTCGCCCCGCAGGGTCGGGCAGCTGCCGTGCAGGCTGGCAGGGTCGTTGCTGCCGTCCGGCTTCAACGAGTAGAACATGACCGCGTCTCCGCGGACAGGCTTGACAGCCAGGCCCTGCTTGGCGCACTCCGACCAGCCCTCACCGCTAACCTTGCGGTCAGCGTCTGGGAACACAGTCTCGCCACCCTCCTCGACCGAGGACCTGTGCCCAACAGGACGGCGTTGCAATGGAGTGAGCGCAAGGGGTTAACGAGCAATCGGGTCACGGGCGTTCCATTCAGGCCATGTTAAGGAAATTGGCCGCCTCTCCCTCCGTGTTGCATACCGGTACCCTTAAGCTAAGATACATGTATAGCCAGAGTACCCCAGGGGCCAACCCAAACCGTGAGGCTAGGTAGTCGAGGTTCCAAGATAAGCAGTCCATTCAGTACCACATACCATAGGGTGCGGTGATATCGTGCAAGCAATTGCCGCAACACCTTCCCGATGGACTTGCAAGGCACATACTACCCGTACACGTGCCCCTCACCGCTAGCCATCAGTAACCTGGTGACCAACCCCAGAACTTACAGGTACATCAGGACAGTGACCACCCGCTGCCCGCCATGCTCCGGGTTTGCGTTCATGGAGTCATGGAAGTAGTCGAAATGAGCCCCATATTTCTGCCCGTCCCGGTAGTGCAGCACCTGCAGGCCCTCATGGTTCTCCTGGGGAATCATGGTGACCTGCGCCACGCGCTTTTCAATGCGCGCAATGACGTCGTCCTCTGCCTTACGAAACCACATTCCAGTGCTAGTGCGGACTTCGCTAGCCACACTCTTCCCCGTCAGGTTATCCGCCACAGACGACTTCACCATGCGTGGCTCGGCCTAGCCAGGAAGGAGCAGGGCAACGCGGTAAGGATAGTAAGGAAATGAACACAACTGCCCAAGGGTTGCTTATTAGGGAGTAAACATTTCACAGCGCCTAAGTATAAAATGATTCATACTGAGTTCGTGTAGGAGAACCTTACCTTGCTAATAATATGCTCGCATTCCTCATCGCTAAGGAAGCCCTTCAACAGGAAGGCCCGCGGCGACCACGAGAGGTGGACTATCTCACCACGCCATTCCTCCTGTAAGGTAGCACCGTTGATGGGCCTCAGCAAGCGGCTTCCTTCTACCCACAAGGCGTTTAAAGTACAATTGCACCTGAAGTTCGCCAAAGCCCACGGTGTGTCCTGTGCCAGCAATAGCTCCTGTTGGTAGAGCGCCAGATGCGGACGCCGAGTACAAGATGGACGATAAAAGGAGGGTGGCCAACAGGACAGCCATGTTCGATGGGGATCCTCCTACTATACACATCTCTTAGTGGAGCTCAGTAGCGCTGCACTCTAAGCTACATGTATAACATGATATAGGCCGACTTGCTTTTCATGTGCCCTGTGCATGGCAAGGATTGCGCAGCTTCTGCCGTACCAACTGGACTTCCACCATCACCTTTTACGGTTCACCCTTACGAGTTGTACTATTTATCGGTGACCTTGCTATTCGCTGTGGGGTACCGTTACTGGATACGACGACCCCGGTACACACCAGTTGCACCTGATGCAAGATGGGGGTCAGAGTCAAGGAGATCATCGCACCGGGATAGGACCGACAAAAGTGCCTGAATCCCGCGATGAGGTGAACAACGGGGAAGGGGTAACGACAGGATGGAAGAGCTCCCCCACGGGTTAGTTTTGGGGGGCTGCAGGCTGTGTTTGCCTTATTCCTTTGCTTTCATGTATAACCGTACTTCATTGTTAACGTTCCTCGTCGGTTTCCGCATGCAGCAAAAGTCAAAACAACTGTGAACGTGGTGGCTTGCCCCACGGGTCAACACCAATGGAAAGCCTATGCCTGACCTGGCCTGACCCACCTAATCCGACACCCTTAATGCATGCGACTTCAGCAAATAATCTCCAAATCGATAACCAATTGCAAGAATGCACCATGCTTTCATGTTACATCTATCTCCAGCGTACGGCTATGCATTCCGTCGTACGGCACCCCAGCAGCGTCTCGCATAGACCCTCACGTCAATGCAACGTTTCAGCAAAGATCCTACCGCATGCTTAAAACAATAAGAAACTTTAATGTTACGATAAATGCAAGTTGTTTATGTTTGCCGTTGACGACTCACAGAGGCCATGATTGAGGGCCGGTCGCGCCGACACCCCCAAACGAATTGGAACCTGTAATAAATTCATCCACACCACGGATTACCGTCCAGTGGATGCTGGCCGGCGGCGAAATGCTGTAACGTTTCGACGCACATGGTTAGACCAATAGACCGCGTGAGTATTGCGTCAACTGTCTTGATAGCCCTTTGTATATGTCTGTAGTCAATGATGAAGCGGTCCTTCTCCCTAAGAGGTGGCCTTTTAGGCTTCTCCCAGCGCGCAGGAGCTGTGAGGTTGGACTTGCTTGACGGTCACCTGCGCATGCCTTTCCTGCTATCTTTCACTCCATCCGTAGAAAATATTCTGCCTTTCTGTTGCCCTCCGTGCATGCCTCTGTAGGGAACAATAAGGAACAGGCACCACCTAATTAGCTAGGAGACAACTTCGAGCATCCGGTTACGCGAGCCGCTGTTCACCAGAAGAAGAGTATTCACTGATTACAGCGGCTTTCCTGGCTGCCTTCCGACTGACGGCCGTTGTTAACCAGAAAGCGAAGCTGAGGCCAACTGCTGCATACTGCAACACAATGGAGAGCTGCATTAGCCAAGAACACGCCGTTTTTCAGTCAAGCTTACGGCCGTCGCACTGGAATTCAGCTGTGAAGAGCATTTCGTCTTCTGACCCTGCATCGACTGGGGCCACCAACCCTTGCGCAGCCCAGGCTACCCATTTGGCTTCAGTGTACGCCCTTCCAGGCAAAGCAGCAGCTTTCCCAAAGGCCGACGCGCATGCACTTAAGTTCCATGGTGGATGGGACGTGTGCCATACATCCGAAGCGCCGACAAGTGGCACTGCTGATCAAGAGCATCATGCACACCGCTATACGCATCAGGACCACATCGAGCCGGCATGGCTCCTTAACGAACAGCGCTCAACGAGCTCCCTATCACCGCAGCTACGAGAGACTGCCAGCGTGCCAGTCTCCGTGCTTAACGGTGGTGACTGCTGCGGGGAGCTTGCAAGCAGCCTGCCAACTCATGCCGCAGCCTCGGACAAATATATGCAGGACTTGCCTCACGTGGAGGTGCGCATAGCAAACCCTGCTACGGCGCAGCCTTTCTCCGTGTCATCCGGTCCCTTTGCAGACGCAAAGCTGCAATCCACCCTGTCGACTAGTATTGGAGTTACTCCGGCGCAGCTGCAGGCTGGCGCCCTGGAAACCGGCCTAAGCAGCGACTGCGTGTCGCAGCAGCTTAAGTTTGGGCATGCAGCAAACGCACCACTGCAGGATGCGCAGAGCGAGCCGCTCCCACCACCTCGCAGCAATGCATCTGGGTCCAACCGTTCACCGGGTTCTGCCACAAACGAAGGCCCGATAGGGGCAGCACTTGGTAAAACTTCTCAGCCAGGGTTTCCCAGTTCCTGTCTAAATGATCAACCGCAGCAGCAGCAGGGCGTACAACATGGAACGCCTCGCCGTGTGCCCCAGCTGGTCACTTCGCATTCCGCACCGGATGCGGGTGCGATGGCTAGGCAGCAACAGCAGCAGCTGGGCAGTCGGACCTCTTCGCCAATGGCTGTGGGCGGACTATCAGTCGACTGCGGTGCTGCGATGAGCGTGGGAAGCGCGCTGGAGGCTGGAGCAGGCGCCGCCCTTGCAAGGGGTGCTGGTAGCGGCAGCAGCTGCAGCGAGGGGCAGCAGCGGCAGCCGACTGCAGAGGCCCGCCAGTCAGCAACACCAGGGTCTGACGCAAGCGCTTGCCCTGAGCAGCAGCCTCCCGCCACCCAAGCATCTTCCGCGGCCATGGCGGTGGACGCTGCTCGCCCAAGCAACCCGAGCAACCACGCCGCACCGCGCACCGGGGGAGACCCAGGCTTAGTTGTTGCCAGTGGTGTGGACGGTGTAGCTCTGTACGATCATGCCGCAGCGTACCCCTATCCGTACGGCGTTCCGCCGCACTACGCGGTGGCGTACGGCATGCCCTACTCTGACCCGTACTACCCCCTACACGGCTACCCGCCGTACCACCCGATGATGGACGTACCTCCGCCGCTGCCGGGCTGCCCGCCGCACTACCCGCACGCGCAATCCATGGATCCACGCATGCTGCCGTACCCGGGTTACGCAGCCCCGCGCCAGCACAGGCTTTACCGTCGCTTCGCAACTGGTGCCCGTGCTTCGCATGAAGCCTTGGGTCCTGCGGCGGCTGTGGCTGCGACAACTGCACCTGGTTATCAGAATGCAGAGGAGCTCATGTCCGTGACATCTGCTGCACCATCCGGCGGTTTTTTGGCCACAACCGGCGCACCGGTTCAGGGCGGCATGCGCATGTCAGGCGTGACGGCGGCAAGCGCAGGATCAATGGTAGACACTTCTTTGCGACAGGGGAGCAGTCTTGGCGGGAGCGCGATGTGCGTTCCTGGCGCTGCCCAGGCGGCTGAGCCTGCTTACCATGCGGCCACCGGCAGCGGCATGCATGGTCAGATGCTTCCGCTGCCGCAGGGTTCGAGCGCGGTTTCAGTGGCTGCCGAGATGGAGAGCGTCGAGGTACGTGACGACCTTCCCTTTCCGTTGGGATAGCCTCATGAGAGGAGGGATGGGAAAACCGGCAGTGGGTACTGCATCCGGCCACTAAACGTATATCTCTTGATGTGTGGTGTGCGCCTCTTGTCAGCTTGGTCCTCTCCTTCCTCCTGTTCTCACTGTTCCACCCCAACTGCCCGCCAGGCTACTCGCGCATGCCACCAGCAGTTTGCGGCTGATGAGGAGCCGCTGTTCCTGACGAGCGCCACGCTGGACGGCATTCGTCAGGAGCTCCGGGCCGTGACGCAGGAGTTCCTGGAGCGGCGCATGGCGGAGGCGCGCAGGAGCCGGCAGCAGCCGCAGTCCAAGTCGTACGGCGGCGCCGCTCCCTCGTTCCTGCACAAGCGCGGCCCCTCCACAAGCCCGCACAGCGCAGGAGTTTCGCCGGCTCGCACCCGGCCCGTGCTGGCCGCACCTGGCGGCGGGCTGCCACCGCAGCCGGCCGCTAGGAAACCTTCCGCCGTTTTCATGGACGATAGACAGCCATCCAACCAGCAGCAGCAGCAACAACAGCTGTTACAAGGAGGTGCGTTCGCAGCCCCCAGCAGCGGCCCCGGCGCCATGCGCCAGCTCTTCCCGGCCCCCTCAGCTGCCTGCTCCCAGCAGCCCGCGCCCTTTGCCTGCGGAGGCCCCGCAGACAGCTACCCCGGCCTAGCTAGCGCCAACCTGCCGCCAGCCGCTTCAGTTGCCGCTGCTGCAGCCTCCGTCCCACTCGGCCCTCGCCCCGCCATGTCGGGCAGGTCCTCCGCTTCGGCCACACAGAGCGCATCCGTTGCCCGCACGGGCGCTGTCCGCGGCCTTCAACAACCGCAACAGCAGCAGCGGCAAGAGCGGAAGGGCAGTGCGGCCATGCCTAAGGGTGCCTTCCTACCCACCGTGGGCCAGCACGGCAGCATGGCGGCGGAGGCGGAGGAAGACGGCGAGGAGGTGCATGGGCCGCCGCAGCGGAGCGGCACGGGTGTTCCCGTGGCGAGTGCCGCTTGCGGCCGACCGCCACACCTACCCGCTGGGTACTACGGCGCTGCCATGCCGCCACCGTCGTACGATTATCCTGCAGGCTACCACCACTATGCTCCGCAGGCAGGCCCGTACGGCATGCGAATGTCGTACGGCATGCAGCCTGCTGGGCCGCCACCTGCGCAGGCAGGTTGTCGCAGCACGGCAGGTGCCTACGTGCCCATGTACGGCGCGGCAGTACCAGGCATGGTCTTGCCGGTCGCGACTGGGGTGTCGTACGGCATGGGGGTAGCATCGTGGCCTGAGTACGGCATGGCGTCAACTTTGCCGCTGGGGGCGGCTGGGACTTCAGACGTGCTACCGCCGGCGATACGTGACAGTTCCTCAGCGGGCGGTTCTGGCCCTGGTGGCGAACATTAAGCCATGGCTGTGGCTGCCAGTGCGGCGATTTCGCGTGCTGCGCATCCTTGGCTTGTTGCTACTGCTGCGATTGGGGTATTTATGTAAGGTTGCAAGATACATAGGGTTGGTTATTTATAGCGCTTGGGTTTATAGTTAGCGGAAAGGGTCCCTGTAAGCCGGCTTGAGAGCGGGTATGTGCTCATTGTTGAAGTTATTGATATCGCTGGGAATTTTAGGCATTGTGTAAATAAGAGCTCGATGCTGTTCGGTATATTAGGATCTGTATAAAGATATCTAGTTCAATATGTTAGGCTGCAATGCTTCTTAGGTACTTGATTCATGTCGTCCTGCAAGTTCGGATAGGCGGCGGTAGCCGCTCTTCATGGGCTGTTTAAATTTACCCGGGGTTCAGCTGAGGAAGCTGTGTTATGACCCGGTTAAAGACATCTAGCAAGCTGGATCTGATTATTCCTACCTTGATACCGTATTGTTTCAAGACTCTCTTTGTTTCTGACTTCGTCATCTTCCATCACTCTTGTGATATGTTATCTCGCGTTCTGTTGAGAGCTGACGCTGAAGGGGAGGAATGTCGGCAGTAGGTGTGGACCACAAGGGCATAAGCAGTGATCTCTTTTATGTTAACAACCTGCCCGCCTTTGTCTTTGCTAGTACTTCATCTTTGCCTTTTTATCTTATGCTTAGGTACGTGGCTGCCTGCTGGCAAGTGTGTCACAGAGCTGTTCACGGGGCAGCATGATCCATCAGGATGGCGCCGTACGGCATCAGGATGGCGCCGTACGGCAGTAAACGGCGGGCAGAGCATGAATGGGCGTACGTAGCTAGCATGTTGTACTATGAATGTAAAGCCACCCAATGTAAGCCAGGACCTGCTGCGTATTGCGTGCCAGCACGAAGTCTAGCATTGTAGCGAGGGTGCTACAAATACCAATCATTACGGCTGCACAGCATCCTAGGAGGCCTTTTCAGGACCGTTGTTACAATTGGTATCGAGTATCCATCCGATGCTCCCTTGCATTTGCAAGATCGTCGGTTCGACCCATTTTTTCGGTTTTGCATGGACGGGAGGACGGCATTTCTGGCTGACACCCGGTCGCATTAAAATAACTGGCCGCGAGGCGAAACTACCTGTATGTATGTCCCATGCCGTACGACACGCAGTCGAGTCAACAGCTGTTAGGATAGCAATAGCAGGGGAAAGACCACTACTCCTGAGACGAGGGCAATAGATAGCACGTAGCCATGCATGTATTCCTGAGAGGAACGGTATTTCACCCGGCACGATTAACTGAGCTCCCGAGTACGGAGGCGGCATTCATGACCCGAACTAGTAGGCATGTTGTTGTAGCGAACCGGCCACATAAGATTGCTGTTGACTTCTGCATCTTCGAAACCTTTCGCGACACCACTATGGCCATCGCCTCCCTCGTGCTTGGCAATCGCCCGGCACGCCATACACAAGCTGAGTGCAATGAACTCATGGTGGGTCCAGTAGAGGACAGTGAGCGTGTTTAGAAGGAACCCTTGCCATTCTGCCTCTCTTACACCTCTAGTGGAAGAAACCAAAACCTGGACTGCTTTCCCAAGACGAATCAGCCAGGACATCTTCTCTCGCGTTCCCGCGCTTGGAGCCTTTTCCCAGTTGCGAAGCAACGCAGGATCTCAAAGTTTGGGCACTAAATTAACTATGTTCAACAGGTGGTGGTTCTGCGGGTATCACTTTGCACCTTTGTGTATGCCAGGACCTCGACACGTCGTCATCGTTGACTTCCATATACGTCTCGCATGGTGAACTAGACAACGCCGCAGCGGCCCAAATCTGTGCAAGGAGGTGTATATGCAACATAGCAGCTTACGCAATTGGGTCGCGAGCAGCGTAACAGGCGGAGGAGTCGTACGGTCCAAGGCGAGAAGGCCGCTGAACTTAACTGGCTTCGATATTGGACCGTCACATCTAAAGTGTACATATTGCAGTAGTTTCTCTCTATAATAACAAACAAGCATACAGGAATCCTTGTTGTGCTAGCGCCTTACTTCTGCTAAAGATGGTGCGTTCCTTTCCCAACTTGCGCTAGGGGTTCCCTTCTGGACTGTACTCAATAGGCATATGTTTATGGCTTCCGGTGTTCACTTTGCGTCCTTGAAATTCTTCGTAGACCGTGTCCAAGCGCGTCGCCAATGCCAAGAGCGGCAAGTTCCACCAGGGCGTCCACAAGCGTGGCGTCGCCGATGAGACTAAGCAGGTGCGTGTCCTGCGAGCCTTCTATCACGCGTCCATTTTTCGTGCATGCCTTGATCTGCCTCATCTCTCTCGTGCAGAAGAAGCAGAGCAAGCTTCCCGTGGGCCCTGTGATGCTGGGTTTCTTCATCTTTGTGGTCATCGGCTCTGGTGGGTGTTGTTGGGTCAAGCCGTGTCTTGTCTGTTGCCGATTGCGGAACCTTCCGACTTAACTTGCTATGGACCCTCTTTACCTTGCAGCCGTTCTACAAATCATCCGAACTGCTACCAACCCACGGGAGCTACCTGCGTGAGCTTAGCCAGGACACTTTTTTCGAGCAGGTGGTTGTGCACGTAGGGTTGGGTACTCCAGGCGATAGTATGTACAAAAGCGGTCATAAGCCATTCCATGCAGTGCAGTATGGCGCAGTTAACAGTTGCGCTCTTTCATTTGAAGGCCAGTAGAGCTCTTGCTGAGTGCAGTGCGCTGCCTCGTCTCCTACGGAGTATAGCGGTTTCTGGTGGTTGTTTCGCATGGCGAATTTTGGAAATGTTTAGATTTTTTTGCCTTTCCCGTCCGGCGCATAGACGGATCGCATGTGACCTCGAACTGTACATTTGAGACTGCTAAGAACGGCGTGACGGAAGCTGTGACGGACTCCGAGCATAGGAACGACTTCCCATGCACAGCTCATTCATGTAATTTTATACAGACGTACGGGCTGCGGCTATAACGATTGCAATGCGCTCAACTGGGCGAGCACGGACCCAAGGGTCTGCTTGAAAGCTGTGCTGTACACCATGTGGCGGTTACCCCAGCATTGAGTAGCCCCCATCCTGCTAGTAGCGCTAAACGCTTCTCTCATTAGCCAACTAACACTTCGTGTTTATGTTCTCACCCTCACTCTCACCCTCAAGCGTGTCGATTTGACGAGCCGACAAACAAAAAATGATTTTGTTGGTTTCAAGGCCACCACTCTGCTGCGTCGTATGCATATGGTGCACTACAACCGCCAAGGCCATGCAGATAGAGCATCAGGCAAACTGCCCTGGAGTCATGGGGGCATCGCCACCCAACCATCTTCCAGCCCAATTCGCTGCCCATTCATCCTATGCCATCCCATATTGTTCACATGGTAGCAAACCAAAATCACGTTAAGGACGGGCTATGTTAAGTTATGAACGCATTCGTTCGTATGCTACTGCGCCATGATCAATCGTTGCCAGCACTTGGGGCATGACATGTAGAACTCGCGCTAATGCATCACCTCATACCACCCTTATCGCTACAGCTACTGCTGCTGCTGGTGCAATGGCGACCCTTGCATGGGCGACCCTCCAACCTGCCCGCCCTCCGCACCAACCGCCACACCCGCACCTACACCCACGCCAGCACCTGCACCGACGCCGGCCTGCTCAACCCTCCCCAGCCCATCCGCGCCAGCCACCACCACTACGGCGGGTTGCTGCTGCACTTGCACTTGCACCTGCCCTGCCTGTTGCTGCTGCTGCTGCGCCGCAGGACTGGGCTGCGGCAGCTCCCGCACGCCCGCGAGCCGCTCCAGCACCTGAGCCATGGCGGGCCGGGCGCGCGGGTCCTCGTCCAGGCAGTCCCGCACTAGCGCCTGTACGGCGGGGTCCACACCCCCGGGCAGGCGGTCCTGCAGCCGCAGGATGCCGTGCACCACTTGGAAGTCCACCTGGGCCTTGTTCAGGCCGCCGTACAGCTGATCGTCAACCCAGTAGGCGACCTGGTACAGGATGACACCTGCGCATGGAGGGGGGATAAGCACGAGTAAGCAGTGCGTGTGTGTGGCGGGGTAGGGTGTAAAGGAAAACAGTGCACATCAGACTCACAGCCAGTTTTCTTAACACACCAGACAATTGACTTAAAACACCAGACTCTGGGTGGGCAGAGCTCCAAGAAAAAGGTAGGTGGCAGCGAAAAAGGCAGCGCTGGAAAAGTAGCGCGCGGCCAGGTGCCGTGCATGCTCCGTTAGGTTGGCTTGACTCACCGTAAGAGTAGACGTCGACTTTTTCATCGTACGGCTGCGCGCGCAGCAGCTCGGGCGCCATCCAGAAGGCGTGCCCCGCGGCGCTGCTGGACTGCACGTCGTTGCTGGCCAGGATGCGGCTCAGTCCAAAGTCGCAAATCTGGGGACAGGTGCGATTACGATCACGGAAGAAAGGGGTCAGCCGCGGCCGTTCCGCAGCGTAAAACTCCTCGCATCCAACTTCAACAATTTGCAATGCGAACTTCCCAAAGTAACAAGTCACGACGTGCCTTAGTCAAGAGGACCCAGCAACCCAGTCGCGCCCACATCCAAACCTCCACATCAGGCCTCCCACCTTCACGCCCAGCGACGGCGCCGCCTCAAGCAGCACGTTGTTCGGCTTGAGGTCGCGGTGGATGACGCGAGGCCCGGGCAGGCCGTGCAGGAAGGCAAGACCCTCAGCCAACTGCCGCACAATTGAGGCGCGGCGTGCGGGTGTGAGCCAGCTCCTCCGCAACCGCTCGGACTGCATGACGCCCTGTGTACGACGACAACAACGGCAACGGTTGTGATCAAAGCCGTTGTTGAAACATGGAATACGAAGTACGATACGGTAGTAGTATCAACCGGTAGGAGCGACGCGCACCGTCAGCAGCAAGTCGGCAAGTCATCTCTCCTGGTCAAGTACCGATACAGCAAAGCTCCAACAAGGTGTGTGCCGGTCTATATACAATGGTCAAGCCAAGCCCCACCCTACGCTCCAAACGCACACCCCACACACCTGCAGCGTGTGAGGGTAGTAAGCCATGACCAGGCACGTGCCCTCCCCAGGTAGCTCCACGCTGCCCAGCATGCGCGCGATCCTCTCATGCGGCGGCAGCGCCGCCAGGATCGCCACCTCTCGCTCCAGGCCCGCCATCTCCCGCTCCGCTAGCGTCCCTCCGCCTCCCCCGCTTCCCGGCCGCCTGACCACCTGCTTTATCGCCACGCGGGCGCCGCACCAAGTGCCCTCGAATACCGCTCCGAAGGCCCCCTGCTCGATTAGCCGACCGCGCACCAACTGCTCCGCACCCACTCGCCACCGCTCCGCCAGCAGCGGCAGGTGCTGCTGGTCTTGCCGACGACCGTGGGTGTTTCCGCCCACGTCCTCCTCGCTGTCATCGTCTTCCTCTTCTCCATCGTCTTCCTGGCCTTCCTCGCCTTGCCCACCTGCGCCTGCCGGCCCATGGGTCGTACTCACCGGCGGTTTGAGGTGGTTGGTGGCAGCCTGGAAGGGCGAGGAGTCCGCAAGCACGCTGGCGCCCGTGCGGGCGTGTCGCTTGCCTTTGCGTGTCCCCGCGCGTTGTGCCGCCTGCGCGTTGCGAAGCAGCCGGAAGATGGCAGCGTGCTGCCCCGCGTACTGCTGCGCCTCGCGGTCCTGGCAGTCCGTGGCGGATGGGTCCAGGCCTGCATGGCAGCGCCGTCGTTGGCACGCGGGTGGGCAGGGTTGGTGTTGGGCTGCTTGTTGCTAGGAGCGGGCAGGAAGCCTACAAGACGACATGCCCTCCGCATCCCTAATCCCGAGGCATCTCTCCAACCCATAGTCAATCTCTCTCATTCTCTTCCTCTTTTCCTCGCAAACCTCCTACCTCGTTCCAGCAGCAGCTCCACCATGGATAGGTTGCCTGCCTTGGCGGCCAGCATCAGCAGCGTGCGACCCCGAGCATCGCGCACGTCCAGCGCCGCCCCTGCCTCCGCCAGCAGCCGCATGATGACCACGTGGTCTTGACTCCGTCCGTACTTGGCTGGGAGGGGAAGAACGCAGGGATGGCGGTGATCTACGAGTTAGTGGTGACAACACAGACCAGGAGCAGCAGCTCAATGTGATCTGATGTCATGCTACATAAGACGTCAACCCATCCAGCATGGTTAGCCCAAACCGAAGTTCACAGCGCATGCGCACCTGCCATGAGCGCCGGCGTCGAGCCGCACTTGCTCCTGCCGTCAGGCTGGCAGCCACATGTCAGCAGCAGGCGCACGGTCTCGGAGTGCCCGGCCAGGGCGGCGAAGTGCAGCGGCGTCCAGCCGTCCGCGTCGGGCTCACTGGGGTCGAACGCCTTGGCGCGAACCAGTTGCACCAGGGCGCGTGTGTTGCCGGCCCAGGCGGCAAAGTGCAAGCTGGTTATGGAGGGCTCCTGCGGGTGAGCAGCGAGGGATAACGAGGCGGACATTAATTACATGAATGCTAAGGAACAGGAACTATGGAAGAGTTCTTGCCTGCATGACATACCAGTCGCATGACAGGCTGGGTTAAAGCCTGATGACGAGCGTATGACAAAGACACCGTCCACGCCCAGCGGCTTCAACACAGTCTTCACACGCGTCTACCGGTGTTTTCCTTGCGTCGGGTCGGGAACCCGTACCACACCACGCCGCAAATAAAGCGGGCAAGTGCGCAGCGGCAACCCGAACATAGGGCACTCGTCCCGGCAACTTGCCCACCTTGCATGTCCAGGGCGTCTCAGGGTCCTCATGCAGCATCTGCTCCCGCACCATGAGCCCATCCACATTGGTGCTCACGACCGGCCGGCCACCGGCGCCGCCCAAGCCAACCTCTCGCATGTCGTCAAGCGGAGGGACAACGACAGCGCCGCCGCCGCCGCCGCTGCTGTTGCTGGGGCTGTTACCATGTTGCATGACGGAAAGGCAGCGCCATTTGAACACGAAGCCCGCGCTCTGCAGTCCTAGCACCGGTGTCAGCTGCTCTTCGGCTGGAAGCCCGGCGATGCGTCCGCAGTAGCGCCCTGAAATAGCGGGGGTACAGCAGCAGCGGCAACCCAATCAGCGCATGTGAGCACGGAGAGTTTGAGCACGGCCGCAGGGAATCTGCATGCAAGCATGCTGAGCGTAAAACGAAAGGAAGCGCGACTGCGTGTCAGATACACGCCCCAGGTGTCAAACTCGCCCATGCAGCTCCGTTGATTACGCCGCGGCGAGCTCGCACTCCCGCGCACCCAATGTACCCCACTCCGCATCGCCAGCTAAGTTCCGCTCCCCGCGCGGAACCTACTCACCATTCAACGTGAACGCCACAGTGCGGCCATGCCGGTTCCAAAACAGCGCCACCGTGTCTCCACTGCGCGCCTCCAGCCGTGTGGCGGCACCAAGGTCCGGCGACAGCACCCCGCCTCGAAACGCCTGCCCGTCGCGAATGCACACGATGTGCGTGCTGGGGTGGTTCATGACGGAGCACAAGGCCACGGTGGGCAGAGCAGCGGTGGCCGGGACGCCGCCGGGTCCACTGGTAGCGGATACCAGCGGTCCGGCGCCGGACGCCATCAGAGAGGTAGCAGCGGCTGGCAGGCCAGATGCGGTAGCGGTGGTGGCTGCGCCGCTGCCGGTCAGGGCGGCTGTGGGCAGGCCGGAGGCGACGTGACTGGTGCTGCTGCCGGTGCTTTCGTTGGCTACCGGCAAGAAGAGCTCTGGGGTGGGCCCGACGCCAAGCCAAACATGACCACCAGCGGAGCCTGCGCAGAAGAAAAAGACAAGTCTAGCATCCGGCAAGGTCCTTCATGGCGGCAAAACACCATTCGCCTACGACACCCCAGGGTCCAAACTGATGCTCCCAGCGGCATGCTGCTTGCACAACCTCCAAGCAAGCAGCACGCCCATGCCCTGCACACACAGCTACAGCGCTCCCGCCCGCCCTCCGCCGCACCTGCTTCCATCACCATCAGCTCCACGAGCAGCCAGCCGGTAGCAGGATGCGGCTCGCCGGGCCAATGCAACCACTCTCGGTTCGTGTGGTTGGACGGCTGAGTACGGAAGACCTCCGAAACCTCGTCCCAGACAAGCAGGCTAGGCACCAGATCGCGGGTCGCAAGCGGCGGCACCGCTGCAAAGGGAGGCAGCGAGCCGCCCGGGCCGCCAAGCGGCACCAGCGGCGGCTGTCGGCTGCCCGCATCGGTGGTGCTGCGTTTGGCGGCATCGCGGGCTGATACTCCTTCGCTGTGTTGTCGGTATTGTAAGAGCTGTTGGAGGAGGGGCTGCGGCTGGGGGTGCTGGGATGGGCGTTTGGAGCGGCCCGAGGGGCCCGGTGGGGGCAGCTGGGCTCCGGAGCTGCCGGGCCGTGCAGGCATGCGTCCAGCAGCAGCAGCTGCTGCTGCTCCGGGCTTGGGTCCCGTGCCTTCGGCTGCATATGCGTCCGCTGAAGACGTTCCCATGGGCAGCAGGAGCTGCGCGTGCGTTGCAAGGTTCCTGCCCTGCAAGGCGCAAACGCACACGCACGACACAGCTCAGGGGGGTGCGGCTAGTACACGGGCCTGGTAGGCCAACGATACGCTTTTGAACATGCATGCAGGGTAATGCTACCGCGAGACTAGCACACACGTTTTCTGCTAGGCAACGACAACACGCTCAAAATTGAGCCAAGAACACACCAAAGCGCAGCCTATGCACCTAGCCTGCCAAGTAAACACGCAGCCTTACCGTGGCCAATCCCGCTGTTGATGCCAGGGTAAGGTGGGACGCCATCGCCGATGGAAGATTCCGGACCTCACGCACTGCGGGCCCGCCCGACACCACCAGCAGACCTCCCACCTGCCCCTCCGCCGGCAACGTCGCCAGCAGCGCCTCTGCTAGTGCGTGGCGCTGCAACAGAATGGCACGGTTGAGAGCCGAGTAGCCGCAGGGGTTGTTGATGGGCGATATGACACACAGGGTACCGGCCGCATCGCTAGCTGACGTGGAGGGTCCCGGCGACAACGCCTCGCGACTAGAGCTGCCGCCGCCAGCGCTGCTGCGCGCGTCGACAAGGCCGACAAAAGGCCCAACAGCCACGGTGACCTCCTCGCGTGCGGGTGTGGGACTGGCGTCTGCGGTCACAAAGCCCGGCCTGCTGTTGGCGGCATCTGCTGGCCTGGCTTCTGGCGGTGAAGCTGCCTCGGTGGGGCTGTCTTGCGGGGGCGGAGGTGGCGGTGGAGGAGGAGGAGAGGGCTGCGTTGGCGGTTGGCGCAGGAAGGGTGACGGCCGAGTGGCAGCGGCAGCAAAGGGCGAGGGTCTTGTGGCGGCTACGAAAGGCGAGGGCTTAGTGGCAGTCAGGAAGGGGCTTTGAATGGGCGCTGCTGTGTCAACTGCCCCTGGGCCGCCGCCGGCGTCGCTGCTAACGGGAGCTGCAGGAGTCCCAACCGCTGCTGCAGGAGTTGGAACAGGGTTGTTGACCGTTGTAACCATTGCTGGTGGTTGGAACGGTGAACGACGCTGCACTGCCGGCTTGCTGAAGGGCGATGCGCGGGTGGGGGTGGCAGCCGGACCTGCCAGCATTTGGGCAGCGTAGGAGAGCGCCATGGACGGCCGATGGTGGTTCCCAGCTAGCAGCGAAGACCCCTTGTCATCCGGCGGCGGTAGGAGCATTAACGCCGCAGCCTGGTGGCACAAGCACGTACCGTTGGCTGCGGCAACAGCCCCTGGAGCCGCGGCACTGGCACCGGACGCGTTGCGACTCCTTAAAGGGCTGGCAGGCATGTCCGGGACTGCCCAACGCCGGGGGGACCTACTCGCTTCGCTAACCGGCGATCCAGGTGCTGACTCACGACGTAACGCCTGGACTGATCCAAGCCTTGTCACAACGGTTGGCGAGGCAGTTCCAGGTGTGCCTGCGCTAGAGCCCGCACTGGAGCCCCCGTTGTTGAGCGAGCGCAGGGATGCCGGTCCCGCTGCCGCTGCCATGGCTGCTGCGGCTGCTGTGTCGCCGCCGGGCAGCGTGACGGAGGAGGGCAGCCGACTGTCCTGCAGCGGCGAGGTCTCACTCGTGGAGGCTGCAACAGCCGCCGCCAAGCGCGCGCTGCGCCGCGCCAGCGGCTCGTGCAGCAGCCGAAGGAACGTCTGCAACACCTCCAGAGCCTGCCCCTCCACCAGCCGTGAATCACCGTGCCCGTCCGGACTCACCCCGATGCTGGGACCCTGCAGGTTGTCAGCGGCAAAGCCAGCAGCCGGCTCCCAACCAGACATAACTGCATGCGCCCCTGCCGCGGTTGGAATCCGCTCCGCGCTGCCTCCCTCGCTGTCCCGATCCGGCTCCATAGCCATCCCATCCAATGGGCTCCATCCCGCGTCATCCATGTTATGAACGCCACTGCCGCTCGCACCCACGCCGCAACCGCTGCCATGCCGCGAAGAGGATGCTGCGACGGCTACAGCCAGGTCACATGGTGTACGACCGCAGTCATCCTTGGCATGTGGGTCAGCCCCTAGCTCCGTCACAAGCAGCTCAATAGCCGCCACGTCACCGCGCCGTACGGCACAATGCAGTGGAGTCCAGCCCTCGCAGTTTGGCGGCGCCGCAGGCGCCGCCACAGCGCGGGCATTCATGTTGCAGCCCCCTGCAGCCAGCACCCTAAGCGCATCCAGGCGACCTGCTGCCGCTGCCAGATGCGCTGCTGTGAAGCCCTCTGCGTCATGCAGTTCGCGCTGTAGCGGTGTGGAATGTCGTACCAGCATGTTCAGCATGGGCGTGCAGCCCTTCAGGGCTGCTAGGTGGAAGGCTGTACGGTCAACGGGGCCGCGCGTGTCGAAGGGAAAGACGAGGTGCAGCAGTCGACGAGCGGCGTCCACGGCAGCATGCAGGGTGGCGACGTGGAGAGCAGTGAGGCCGCTGGAGTTGGGCCGCAGCAGAACAGCCTGGGCTGCTCGGAAACCGTGCTGCGCAACTGCATGACGGAAGAGGATGTCCACAACGGCCGTGTGGTTTCCGCAGACGGCTAGATGCACTGGCAGGGCGCCTTCGGGCGGGCCCGAGACAGCAGCTTGGTCGGCGCCTGCCTTGAGCAGCAGACGGCAGCACTCTGCGTGGCCGAGCAGCGCTGCATGGTGAAGCGCCGTGTGGCCGTTTGAATCCGCGATGTCAACGCCGCAACCCCTGAGGGCGCCGTCCTCACTGCCGCCTATAACACCGCCGCCGCTGCCACAGCCGCGACTGCCGCCGCCGTTGCCCTCGCTGAAGTGCTGGAGAAGGAAACGCAACGTGGCGTGGTTGGCGCGGGAGACGGCGTAGTGAAGGAGGGACCAGCCACGTGCATCACGCAGCCTTAGGAGCTCGGTCTGCGGCCGGCTGGAGAGGGTTATTCCCAGGAATGATGTCCCAGCAGTGGTCAAGCTGCTGTGGCCCAACAAAATGCGGAGTACGTTCTCACTCCTTTCCGCAGCAAGATGCAAGGGAGACGGACGAGATGGCGGTGGACCTGGGGCAGTCACCAAATCCCAGGGGGACCCAACGGCCGTCGAAGGGCTGCCTCCAGGATGGCGCAAGGGGCGAGTGCGCTTGCAAGCAAGGTCCAAGAGGGCATGAACTGCTTCTACATTGCCGGCCAACACGGCGTGGTGTAGCGGAGTAAGACCAGACTGGTCTCGCACGGTAGCATCAGCGGAGCGAAGCATCCTAAGCAGCGCGGTGGTCTGATGGCGCAGGATGGCTGACACCAGCGCGTCCGGCTCCACAGCTGCCATGGCTTCGCCTTCCAATTCTAGTTGCAGTAATATTTGGGTTGTCTGCTTTGCCGACGCCAGACACCAGACGCTGAAAAGTCGTGGGCATTAACTGGAATAAGCAAAGACCAAGCATCTTACGATCCACTACATCAACGACCATGCATATTTATACCATCTTGCTGTCCAGTGCTGTCAACCAGTAGAAGATGTGCAAATCTGCAAAGCGAGTTGACGGGTCCTACAGTGGCAAACGAGAGGGTTCTCTTTATTGCAAATTATCCTTCAACATCTCATATGAAAGTAATGGAGCATGTATAATTTACCTTCAATTACCTTTGAAGCAATCCGGAGGTGATTGGTACGTAACGGTCTAACATACTATAACGTGATGATGGTACTCACATTCCCAATCCCGATGTACATCCGGTAAATGTAGGGGGCTAATAATAAGGAATGCAGCAGTTGCGCCATTATGCCATGCGGCCGAGCAGTGCATGCGTCCGCTGTCGCGGAGTGCCTTGACTAATATACGCCCGTCGGGGCAAACTTCCTCAGACTGCCTTTATCCCAGCCAGGGTTTCCGCGCTAGGCTATCTTTGGCTATAACATTTCCCCTTCCCAGGTACAAAGTTAAACGTCGGTTGGCCAAGGTTAAACTTGCATACCAAAGCGCCGACGAACAGACGCAGAGGGCCCCGAAGGGCGTGGCCTTGGTGAAAGAACCATTGACAGGCTTTCCCGCACGTAAGCGCAAGACGGGGGCACCGCAAAATGTAAGGGACGACAACTGTGCTTATGGTAAACGCAGTGCCGCAGGATTAGCAAGGCATGTTCCATGTCCCACGGCAGTTCCCACCAAGGAAATGAGTTCGACCAGTGTTAATCCACACACGGCCCTCGGACTGCCCTGCAGACCGGCACATTCACCCATACACACGCGGCTCAGTTGGTTACACACGGCTGTCGGTCTTGTGCCATTTACACTGCACGTACTCGACACGCCAGTCCATGCGCACGCAGTTCCAGCCCCAATCCGTGCACGCTACACACCCGTACAGCCTGCGTCCACATCCAGCCAAACGCCATGAGGCAAGGAACAAAAGCTGCGGCTCACTATTTCTGAACGCTGCGGGCATGCTTCAAACCCCCACCATGTTAGTTAGCTTGTTTGCACCCCTACTTAAAGCGTTAGTCCTGCTACGAGTTCACCGCGTTCTAAAACTATCGGCACTACAACTGCGCAAGCTGCGAGGCCAGCTCCAGGGCACGCCCCCCGAGTACGTCGTTTTGCCGCGCCAGCGTGTTCAGCTTGGGCACCAGGTTCTGAAGCGACAGCTTGGCCTTGTTGGCGCGCTCGCGCCGCTCCTCGAAGCTCAAGTCAATGCCCACTCCGCGGGACCCGGGCGAGCAGAGCTCCCGAATGATGGGGCCGAAGAAGCGGACGTGCAGCGCGACCACGTCGAGGCCCACGTGTATTTGGCGGTCCGACGGCAGCGACAGCACGGTGTCCACAACGGATACCACCTGCGACGTAAGCAAAATAAACAAGTATAGGTAGTCAAGCGGAAGGACAGAGGCAAGGTGGCAGAGGGCAATGGACGCTTCACTAAGCGTATGGCAGACTTGGCAGTATAAGGTCCTGTGCATGTTGCCAAGCTGACACGCAGTGACCGTATGCAGACAACGGATTGCATGTTTCAACAAAGGGAGCTACCCAAGGCCCCCGCTTAGGCTTGTATACCGGTAGGCCCAAACTGTACAACGTACGCTCACCCACCTCGCCGACTAGGTCAAGGCTGAATGCATCGCGGCGCTCATGCATCGCCTCCAAGAGATCCGAAAACGTCGCAGTGTCATCGCAACGCCGCGCGCAGCTGATGGCCCCCCTCCAATCAGCCTTGGCGACAAAGTTGCGGATGAGGGACAGCGCATGCGCACGCTTTTTCATAGCCCCAAGGAACATGGCGTGCCGACTCGACAGCGCGGCGGCTGCCTCGAGGTCCGTCGTCGCGACGCTCGCGTAGTGGCCCCCGCCGCCGCCACCTGACTCATAGCTGCGGCCACCGCCTCGCCGGTCCACTCCAGACGGCCCCGCTGCCGCCCCCACTTGCCCAGGGCCACCTTGCCAGGGGTACCGCTGGTCCATGCCTGACCCGGAGGGGCCACCATGGGAGTCCGGGGGAGTTTCCGATCGCGGCTGGCGAGGAGGGTAGGGTGGGGCATGGATTTCTATTGCAGTGTCACGCAACGGCCTGTCGTTGTAGGGTCGTTGTCGCTGATGCTGTGACTGTGCCCGACCGCACTCGCCGCCGCGGCTGTCATCAGGCTGCAGTTGTCCGCGCATCAGGCTGTCGCCCACGCCCACGCCCACCGAGACCATGGATGGACGCGCGCCCGCAGCATGGGCGGCGCCAGACCGTGAAGACGGGATGTAGTCCGATGCCGCACTGTCACCTACCCCCCCAAGGTCCTGACCCCCATACCGGTTGCTGCCCGAGGCGGCACCTGACGGCGCATACACGTTCACAGGCGGCAACATTGCGGCTGAACCCTGTGACATCCCCGACGACGGCATCCGGCTGCCAGCGCTATTAGCACGTTCCGAAGGCCGGCTTGCGCCAACTGCCTGCGGCCCCGTCCCGCCAGTCGATGGCCGCGCGGCAGAAGACTGCCCTCCCGCCCCGCCGCTGGATGGTCTCCCGGCGCCACCAGTCCCGCCGCTGTGTGGCCTCCCAGCGCCGTTGCTGTATCCGCCGCCAGCGTTGCCGTACGACGCGGAGTCGCCTGTGCCGCGGTCGTTGAGGCTGACGCGCCGCATGGCCCCCTCCGGTGGCAGCTGAGCCGCCGCTGCCATAGCAACGAGGTTGCTGCGGGAGGCGCCCACAACTGCATAGGGGTTGCCGTCCACGCTGGCGCCCGGCTCGCGCGCCGTGTACTCCGGGTCGTCGCAGAAGGGCCGCACATTCCTCAGCGTTATGTAGAACAGTCCCACCATGGAGGAGTTGAAGGAGCAGCCGATGAGACGCTGCCCACCGCGATGCGTGTTGACGGTCATGTCGGACACCCGGAACCAGGGCACGTCCACGTAGTCGTGCTGCACCGTCGGCTCCATGGACCACACCTTGCAGCCGTCCTGAGGTCCAAGGTGGCAACACAGATGCAGACAGTTGCAGCATACGATCAAAGCGGAGCAGCATTCCCTTTCGCCGGACATGGAACACTCCTGCTGCCCGCCAAAATCCCCCGGACCACCTTCCGCATTCATGGCGCTCTTGGCATCCTAGCATCGACCGCTGTAGCCCCCTATACATAAGAGCATCTTTTCCCGTACGCCGCCCTGAACAGACCTGTATTGCACTGAAGATGTATTTGCCATCGGTGTTGAAAGCAATGTTCCGCACAGGGGTGGCTTCAGGGGCCGTCTGCCCGATGTTCGTGAAGTGCTCCAGGTCCCAGAAGCGCACCACCTTATCGCGAGAAGACGTCGCCAGCACGTACTCGGTTGGCGAAAACTCCAGGCCCGTGATCTCATACTTTGTGGGCTGGCACAGGTCCGCTGACAGCCGGCCGGCGCGCACGTCCCAGATCTGAAGGCTCCCAATGCAAGTAATGCGCGTGAAGGGTATTGCGGCAGCTTAGTTCAATGAATTCCAGCGCCGGCATGCAGTTGACCTTGTCCCAAAAGGCAAGATCAGGGAGTTAAGGCAGTGGCCTCATCCAGAAAGCCGCTTGGTCCTTTACACAGGACATATCGATTGAAGGGATTCCGTAGGGCATCCGTGCGACAACACGGATAGATAATAGCACGCACCTTAACGGCACCGTCAGCAGATGCTGAAGCAACCCAGTTTCCGTCCGGGCTGTACCGCACGTGGGTGACCCCAGCCTTGTGGTCCTTAAAGGTCATGATGGCCTCCTTGCCGCGCAGGTCCCAAAGCTTGACGTTGGTATCCATGGAGCCAGAGATGATGGTCGCATCGTATGGGTGCCATGCTAAGCACGTCACGTTGACCTTGTGCCCCGAAAAGCTCTTGGTTACTGCCGAGCCGCAAAGGGCCAACAAAACAGGTAAATGATCGCCCCATGACCTCTTTTGGCTGCCCTTAGTTCGCACATGCACCATTGGCATTTAAGATGGTGGTCTGCTTAAGCCAGGTTCGGAGTCCATGAAGGGACATACACAGCCCTACCCACCTCTCCCGGACTGCAGCTCGAACACCTTGATGCTCCCATTGGAGCCACCAGCTGCCACTACCATCTCATCATTGTCAAACGACACACTCTCGACTGATGACTGGTGGCCGGTTAGGCTCTGCAAAACAGAAGAAGCACATGTCAAGTCGTCATGCCAGACCATAGCACGTGTTGCCGTGATGATGATAAGCTTACAAAGCTTGCGGTTGTCTTTCCAATAGCCCAGACGTTGACTTTCTTGTCATCGCCTCCGGTGACCAGAACGCCGGCTGTCTTCCGTCCAATTCGCACGCATCTAACATCCCCGACGTGAGCAGAGAACTCAACTGCGAAATAACAAGTGTTGGGATAGATGTGCGAAGAGACCATTCTGCCAGACAGGCTAAGAAGCAAGCACAGTTCGGGTTTGAGTGTGCAGCTGTGCACGCGTACCTAGCTTCAGATAACGTGGGTTACTCATGGTCGGCCTTGTTCCACTATTGTTTCAAGTTATGTGCATTTGGTAAACAGATTCGCATGCGAAAAAGCTCGTTATAACGGTGCAAAACAATTTTAGCTTGGTAGATCGTGAACTTGTCGTCTAATTTAATACTTTGCAACAGATCTGAAATCTACCTACTCTTGGGCTAAGCTCTACCAAAGCCTGCCCTGGTGTTGCAAAGCTCTGCACAAACCGTGCCGTACACATATGGGGATTTGTCCTTCATACGCACGCGTGTTTTCTTGTCATGGGTGTGCTTGATAGACTTTGCCGCTATAGCCTGCGCGTATATACGCGGTTGGCTTCTACGGAAGGGCCTCTATCGTCTTTGGCGGCTGCTGCCAGTTCACAATACGCCCCCGCAAGGCCGGCTCCTTTCTTTGAAAATCGTTGGCTCGCCCTAATTAGCAAGATGACCACTACGGAATACGTATTGCCGGATCAATGGTCAGAGGACCTGAAGGATGAGAAGGGCGAGCCGATGTCAAAGAGGTCAGCCCCAACACCCACAGTTTCAACATGTGCTAGCCCTTCCAGCCCTGACCACGACTATAATGTGTTGCAGCGAGTTCAAGAAGCGCCAGAAGGCCAAGCGTGTTGCAGCAGAGAAGGCGGAGAAGGAGGTATGTTGGCGGCTGTCTCGATCGGCGTGTGATTTGGGCCACAGCCATGAGCCACGCTTAATTCCTCCTTAGGATACCAGATTAGGCCTACTATGTGGCTGTATGTGATATGCCTGGAGTTGCGTTTGCCTGTGTGCTAATGTGGGCTTTATGAGACGGGAAACTTGTTGCCTCGATAAATGCACATTCCATGGGACGACACCTGCGGGGCTGAAGCTAGGGTCAGGATGAGGCGAAACCCTGCAGGACACATCCGTTTTAGTTTACATGGTTTAGCTTAGTTGTTGTGGCATAGGGAAGCCGCTAATCCACTTGCCAGTAGTGCTGTCAAGATGACGCTCCTTCCGTTGAGTTTTGGGTAGCGGCAAGGTCGTAAGGTCATACGCTTTTGGCTATGGTAGCTGGCGTTACAGCAAAATGTACGCGCCTAATCAGGCATGTCTCTCCGCCCTTCAGAGGTATCCTACCCTCTGTTTGTTATCATGTAGGCCGCCAAGGCCGCTGCGGCTGCGGCTGCGCCACCCAAGGCCCCGAAGGAGGATGGCCCGGCGCTGGAGGACGACTCCAGCGAGATCACTGATCCCACCGCTTACTTTGAGAACCGCGTGCGTTATATTAACGCCAAGAAGGGGAAGGGCGTGAACCCATACCCCCACAAGTTCAATGTAACCATGTCGCTGCCTGATTACGTGGCCAAGTACGGCAGCCTGGAGGCTGGCCAGCAGGAGACGGAGACCACGGTGGCTGTGGCGGGTGAGCGAGTTAGCGGTGTCCTTCATTAGCATATGCATACTTCGGTTACCAACAATCCCAATGCACATGGTTGGACGTGGGCTAATGCACGCATGTCAGCGTCCATCGCATTCCGGTTACGTGGATCAAGATACGTGTGCCCCATGTTGCGATGGTGTTACATGAAGAGGTTCTTGCCCTGACCGATATCTGATCGCAGGCCGCGTCTCCAGCAAGCGCGCTTCTGGCGCGAAGCTTCTGTTCTATGACATGAAGGCGGATGGCGTCAAGATCCAAATTATGGCGGATGCCAGGTGCGGTACGAAGGTGGTTGCATGTCGTCAAGCTTATTCCCAGACTGCATGCGCCTCTAACCGATGCTGGGCTTTGGGCCCATCCTGCCACACCGGAAGCGGCAAGCAAGTCATGGCGGGCATGGTGGGAGGAGGCCTTGTGCATACGTAGTTTAGCATGACCTTAGCATGACTCATGCAGCTGTTGCCCTCATTCATCATGCTAGGAACTCCGACCTGTCCCTGGAGGCTTTCACGGCCGTGCACAACGAGTGCAAGCGCGGTGACATTGTGGGAGTGGAGGGCTTCCCCGGCAAGTCCAAGAAGGGCGAGCTGTCCATTTTCCCGCGCAAGTTCGTGGTGCTGTCTCCCTGCCTGCACATGCCGCCGTCCCTGCACTTCGGCCTCAAGGACCAGGTGGGTTATCCGCTCCTTTAACAGAAGGAAACACACCTGACAACAACCTCGGGATCCGAGCGGAACATACCATGGAGCAGGTACTGCTCACGCGTGCACTTTTATCGGCCCCTTTCAGGGCCCCAGGCGTCTCCTTGGAGCTTACGGGTGCAAACGCTTGTCCCTGTCCCTTTCTGTCCGCAGGAGACCCGCTACCGGCAGCGGTACCTGGACCTCATGGTCAACAACGAGGTGCGGTCCATCTTCTTCACGCGCTCGCGCATCATCCAGTTCGTGCGCCGCTTCCTGGACACCCGCGGCTTCCTCGAGGTGAGGAATAACTACTGGAATAACCGCTGTGGGAGGCCCGTAGTAACCGTCGGCACCATAACAGTGCGCATGCGAGTCCTCTTACCGGGCTGTAGACACTGATCGCATGCATGTCAGGCTCCCTGTCCTGCCTATCGTGCAGTTAACGCCTAACGCCGCCGCGTTAAGCTTGTCCTCTTTACCCTCCATGTACCATGTGGTTCTTGCCCCTCAGGTGGAGACGCCCATGATGAACATGATCCCCGGTGGCGCCGCAGCGCGGCCCTTCATCACGCACCACAACGACCTGGACATGCAGCTCTACATGCGCATCGCCCCCGAGCTCTTCCTCAAGATGCTCGTAATCGGTGGCCTGGAGCGCGTGTACGAGATTGGCCGCCAATTCAGGTGCGCACCCGTTCCTCTAATGATGTAACGGGCCACGTCCCCATCTGGGTTTGCAGATGCTGGCACAGTGGCACACCAACCACTCCTCGGCTTGAACTGTGCGTTGCCCTACCAGTCTAGCGTCCTTAGTCTGGAGCTCATTCAATGTTTATACCGTAACCAGGGTTGTACGTCGTACTCGCGCAGGAACGAGGGCATTGACCTCACCCACAACCCCGAGTTCACCACCTGCGAGTTCTACCAGGCGTACGCCGACTACAAGGACCTCATGGACATGACGGAGACCATGATCAGCCAGATGGTGCTGGAGATTAAGGGCTCGTACAAGATCCAGTACCACCCAGAGGGGCCGGAGAAGCCCGCCATTGAGATTGACTTCACGCCGCCATGGCGCCGCATCTCGATGGTGGGTGTTTGGACTGTCGCAATGGCACATTCCCTGCATGGGAGGTACGCCAGTGGCGCCTGGAGGAGGTGTCTGGACCTCCCGCAGAATGGGACAGGCGATAGCCGTTCGGGGCGAAAGCACTCACGGTGGCGCCGTGGCATCATCCTTCACACTCTCTTCAACATCATCTGACACCATTGCCTTTTTCCGCCTCTGCTAGGTTTCCGGGCTGGAGGAGTGCCTGGGCACCAAGCTGCCGACGGACCTGGAGAGCGAGGAGACGCGGCAGCTGCTGGCCGACCTGTGCGTCAAGCACAACGTCAACTGCCCCGCGCCTCAGACCGCCGCACGCCTGCTGGACAAGCTGGTGGGCGAGTTCCTGGAGGAGCAGTGCGTCAACCCCACCTTCATCTGCGACCACCCGCAGCTCATGAGCCCCCTGGCCAAGTGGTACGTTGCTCCTCTGGGATTGGATTGGGTTGGGTTGGTTGAAGAAGCTCGCATGTACATCTACGACATAGCCAAAGCTCGCAGCACATGCATAAGTGTTAAGGCCTGTGGCAGAACCATTCAGGATTCTGGTTACTGAATGGCTTTGAACCTGGGCCCAAGAACCGGTACGACATGCAACTCCGGAGACGGGGCAAAGTTTTTATGCCAAACTGTCCTTCGAATGCACTGCCGACATTGCTTTGTTTCACTATCCATAAAGCGGCACCTTGCCGAAGCGCAAAGGATTCACCTTTGAAGTTGCAGACTTGTTGATGCTGCCATGCCTGTGGCAGAACCTGTCAGTGTCTTGGTTGCTGACCGGCTTTGAACCCGGGCAAGAGAAACGTCACGACGTGCAACTCCGGAGACGAGGGCCGCCTTCACAATGCCACTCAGTCCTTCGAATGCCATGTCGACATTGCTGTCAATGCAGCTAACTGCTCAGCGGCGGGCGAACCCTGCATGTAACACACGTAGTGCTTAGTTAAACCCTTACACAAGGTGCATGCTTACTAACGTGCCTGTGGCAGAACCTGTCAGTGTCTTGGTTGCTGACCGGCTTTGAACCCGGGCAAGAAAAACGTCACGACGTGCAACTCCGGAGACGAGGGCCGCCTTCACAATGCCACTCAGTCCTTCGAATGCCATGTCGACATTGCTGTCAATGCAGCTGACTGTTCAGCAGCGGGCGAACCCTTCATGTAACACACGTAGTGCTTAGTTAAACCCTTACACAAGGTGCATGCTTACTAACGTGCCTGTGGCAGAACCTGTCAGTCCCATGGTTTCTGACTGGCTTTGAACCCGGGCAAGATCACTGCTCCGCACGGCATGCTCTCCGGAGATGGGCGTCCCTTTACATGCGACCCATCCTTCGAAAGCACTGCTGGCATATTACATGTTTGCCAAATTGCAGCTTCAACCCAACTTCAGTTCTGTCCGGAGTTGGTTGTACACGCCCGTGGCAGAAACCGAGCAGTGTCGCACGTCGCTTTTCGGCTTTGAACCCAGGCTAGATCACACCACACGACTTTCAACTCCGGAGAAGTGGCTGACCTTCGTGGCCTCTTCCATCGAATGAAAAGCCGACATTCGGAAACGCTGGCTCCTACCCCCCACCCAAAGCTTTCCGGTCGATGCGCGACATTCTCCTGCCTCTCAAATCCCTTCAACGCTAGCTGTTGCATTACCGGTACCCCTTCCATGCGACGCACCCGTTCATAGCATTGCTGGTACTGAGCTTCAGCAGTACTCCAACCCCGTCCGCAGTCATCCTGTTAGGCCTGTGGCAGAAACCGAGCAGCGTCATGCGTCGCTCTTCGGCTTTGAACCCAGGCTAGATCATACCACACGACTTTCAACTCCGGAGAAGTGGCTGACATCATGGCCTCTTCCATCGAATGATAAGTCGACATCTCCTGGAAACGGCTGGCTCCTACCCCTTCGCCAAAAGCTTTCTGGTCGATGTGCGACATTCTCCTGTCTCCCTTCCATACTGGCCCCTGCGTTGCCCCGTCCATGTGACTCACATCCTCGTAGCGTTGTTGGTATTAAAGCTTCAGTCCGATTCCGTCCGCAGTCATCCTGTTAGGCCTGTGGCAGAAACCGAGCAGCGTCATGCGTCGCTCTTCGGCTTTGAACCCAGGCTAGATCATACCACACGACTTTCAACTCCGGAGAAGTGGCTGACATCATGGCCTCTTCCATCGAATGAAAAGTCGACATGTTAAAAACGGCCGACTCTTACCGGTCCCCTTTTTAACGCGTCCCGGACCCCGCACGACACACACTCTGGCATCCAAGTTACCCCTCCGGGTCCCTCTCCTCCTTCCTCCTCGCAGGCACCGCGAGCTGCCCGGCATGACGGAACGCTTTGAGCTGTTCATTAACAAGCGCGAGGTGTGCAACGCCTACACCGAGCTCAACGACCCCATCAAGCAGCGCGACCTGTTCCAGGACCAGGCCAAGGCCAAGTCCGCGGGTGACGACGAGGCCATGTTCATTGACGAGAACTTCTGCACGGCGCTCGAGTACGGCCTGCCGCCCACCGGCGGCTGGGGCATGGGCATTGACCGCATGACCATGTTGCTGACCGACACGTGCAACATCAAGGAGGTGAGTGGAGATGGGTGAGAGGCCGGGAAGCATCAGACTAACACTCAAATATTGCCACTGCAATTAGATGGATCTCTAGAAAACGTATTTTGCGAAATTTTATTCATAGTTCGATTTAGTACTATATACGGGGGGAAAGTACTTTACTTTTCAACGGAACCGTGCCTATTGCTTTCCCCAGGTCCTGCTCTTCCCGGCCATGAAGCCCGAGGAGACCGGGCCCAAGAAGGACGCGGACAAGTGAGCGGACTAGCATGGGCAAGTGACATATGAGAGGACATCCTGCTTAGGTAGACATGAACGGCCATTTCAGTGTATGGCGGGTTGCGGGGTTCACAGTGAGGGAGTAGTCGGGTAGCTTAGTCACATGACCGTCAGTTTGTGCACATTCTTACTCGTGTCAAATTAGGTAGATAAGGACAGGATGACAATTGTTATCTTAGGGACTTTTGGGTTCCCTCCATGTTTAACCCTGACGTTGGGTGTGGTAATGCTGTGACAGGCAGGAGTGTGTTTTTGTACTGCTGTGGCACAGTGATAGGGGTATTATTGGCAGGGGTGGTAAGCGGCGAGCCGTCGCTTCGTGCGTTTCGCGTGCTACTGTTTGTTGCGCATGGCCGCGCACTGTGGAGGACAGTCCTACTGGCCGTGCTAAAATGAGTTTAGCCAATGAAGCCGAATGGTGCTGGTTGCGTCGCGGCCTTGGTCATCGTCTGCAAGCACGTAAAGCACCGCCTGGTGCCCTCATGCATTGGCTTGTGTAAGCTTTCCGCTTCACCCTGCCGTTGTCTGAAGACAAATGCAATTTGTTATGTGAAGACCCTCGACTTCCATAGCTTGTACAAGACTCCACAGCTCTGGCAAATGTTGATGTGATGCTCCTCTGTGTGCAATGACTTCCCGCGAGGGGGGAAATGCCGTTGGGGACCCCAACTTGCGGTTATTTCCCATGTACGGCAGTTTACCGCAGAACAGGAAGTCGAGTACTGCCTGCGTGACTACAAGAGATAAGATAACGCGTAGTGCGTTTCAACAGGGCAATTGACCTTGTCTTTATAAATGACAGCCGTTGTAGTATATATAATCCTAACCACAAGGCCTGGTTGACTAATCTACTCGCGCATAGCCTTTGACTAACGGCTTGTAGTAAGAAAATTACTGTATGATAGCAAAATATCAGAATGGCGCAACTTGCTAGAGAAGTTATCCTTGGGCGAACAAGCTCCTGCCTTGATGTTGCCGACTTTACTAGCATTGCCCCCACTCGCCAAGGCAGTGTAGCACGTGCAGGCTTACCTGAGGATACTGATGTTGAGGCCGCAGCACCGCTTCTTACCAGAGCGTCAGATGAGGCGGTGGCGCGTGCGCCCTCACCGACCCAAGAAGAAGTCGACAGCTTCTCAAGACGTGTACGATTTGGGATTAATGCAAGCTGGGCCGTTAACATTTTGCTGCTGGTGGCGAAGGTCGCAGCGTTCGTTCTGTCGGGGTCCTACGCTGTTCTCGCCTCAGCAGTAGACAGCCTGGTAGACCTCTTGAGTCAAGCAGTACTTGCGATTGCGGAATACCAGGTTTCAAGGTGCGCCTGCGTGGTACCTGGTCTCCCTGCAACATACATGTTGCTGCCCATTCCTATGTCTCAGCATGTCGCACAATATAGTTTCATCCATGCCGTCCCGTCCTTCACTTCTGTAATCCTCCCTACTATCTGAAGACCCTGACTCCCATGCTTGCCGTTATGTAGGTTTGACCAGCGCTTTCCCATTGGACGTACCCGCATGACAGAGCTGTCTGTGCTTGCCTGCGCGGGCATCATGTTCGTATCCACTACGTTAGTCATCCGCGAATCAATCGGAGGCCTGTGGGATGGATTTCACGGTATGTCACACACTCCGCGCTGTTGCCAAGTTCAGGCTACCCGCGATAAGATTGCAAGGCTGCCTCACGCAACCCAAAACGTCGCACAAACATGAAGATTGCGGTGCCTTCTCCCTGTTTGACCGACGCTTCCGCATCTCCTGCCTCTTTTGCACACCACAGGTGAGATTCCCCCGCTTGAGATTGGCACGGTGCTGTTCAGCACGCTGGGGGTTGCCACCGTCTGCAAGTTGGCGCTGTACCTGTATTGCGTCGTGCTGCGCAAGAACCCCATCATGGTGCGCTGCTGCCGGTCTGCCTGTAGACCGTGTCCTAGTTGTGCACAGGCATTGCCTCATCAACCTCAGCAACGGGCAGGGTACTGCGGGCAGCTAGGTGGCCCCCTTAGCAGCCTTAGCAGGCGCCGTGTAAGCTAGAAACCTACCCGGCCTGCGACTGCTTGCATCATTTTGTACCGTATACACACTGCCCTGCCACCTGCTATTTGGCGCCCAGGTCGCCCTGTCAGAGGACCACTTAAACGACGTCATGTCAAACGTAGCCGCCATTGGAGGCGCCGCTGTGGCCGGCAACTTCCCGCGCTACTGGTATGTGGACCCCATTGTGGCCCTCATCTTCTCTCTGCTCATCATCCGCAACTGGATAGCCATCTGTTGGGAGCAGGTGTGTGTGTGGGGGGCACACGCTGCGGGTCAGGGGGGGGATGTGGCCGGGCCACGGTGGGGAGCTGGTACACATGGGTGGCACCTTGCAGATGTCTGGGACTGAACCCTGGCCGGATTGATAGGTATCTGTAGCACCCCAACCGGTAGTACAGGTTGGGCGTTGCCGCTGGGGGCATGTTCCTCCGCTCTAGATTAGCGCCTTGTAGCCTCCGCGTTGCAATGCTGCCCTGAACCTGTTTTGTTGCCGGCGTCCCTTCTTGATGCTTCAGGCACAAAAGATGGTTGGTCTAGCTGCTCCGGAGGAGTTCATCGAGACGGTCACGTTCATGACCCAGAACCATCACCCCGCCGTAGTGGTGAGGCCAACCAACTAACCATTGCAATCGTGGGGCTGGGCGCTTACCTGCCACAAGGGTTGCGGAGCAGGCAGCTGTGCACGATGGCGGGTGTCGTTTCGTACAACATGTCTCTGAAGTGGGATGTAGCATGCTGCATCATTATAACACCGCGGACGCACGCGAGCAACCCAGAAACTCGGCTTCCACCCTTCTGACGCCTTTCTTTTACGTGTCCTGCCGCCTCCGCTCTCGCTTCCCCCACAGATGTTGGACCGCGTGACCGCCTACCACCACGGCTCCAACATGGCAGTGGAGGTGGAGGTCATCATGCCGGCAGCCATGACCGTGCGGGAGTCGCACGACATCGCGCTGGCGTTGCAACACAAGGTTGGGTAGGGGGCAGCAATACAAGAGGCAGGGGATGGGATGCCACCATCTGATGCCATAGGGCCGGTCGGACGTAGGGAGGGGGTCTGGGAAACCCTTGTCTGCGCCTCTGTTGTACCGGTACCTTCGCCTGCATCTTTCTGTTCTACAGTGTGAATTGTATGATGCTCCTGGACGCTCTGCTCTGAAACGCGCAGCTTACGGCTTGATGCTTTTTTTATTTAGGCTGCCTGAGCCCACCTTCTTTCCCCTACCATACGCACAGATTGAGGCGCTGGAGGGTGTGGAGCGAGCGTTCGTACACGTGGACTATGAGCGGCGATCCGTGGAGGAGCACAAGGTAGGGCGGGCGGCATGGCCAAAACAACTGCAGGAGAAGCAGGAGGGCGGCTAGCCAGCCGCTTGGCATGCAGTCCGCAGCGATTGTTTAAAAGCTGATAATATGGAAAAAGGCTGTGAAGTACAGGACATTGTGTATGGAGGATGACGAGAAGACGTCTGCGGATGTCCGAATCCAACCCTATGCCGCACCATGCCGCACTCTTCCTCATCCTTCTCCCATCGCTTAAATACCTCGGGTTGAATACCTCGCACCGTCGTACGCCTCCTGACGTACTTTCAGGTGGAGCGCAACCTCAAGCTGGGCGAGAAGGACATCATGAAACCGCTCGCCGGCTACGACGCGCCCTCACCCGTCTCCCGAGCGGCCTCCCAGTCCAACGGAGCCCTCCCCGCCGGGCCGCAGCTCAGCGGTCGGAGCACCAACGGCCAGCCATCGGGGGCCCTTGTTGCTGCTGCTGTTGCGGCCCCAGCAGGCGCTGAACCCGCAAGCGGCTGCACAGCGGCAAGTGGAGGGCCGGCGTCGGGGGCGGGTGTGGTACCGCCTGGGATGGGTGGCAGGCCGGGGACGTCTGCTGCCGCGGCGGGTCATGTGCAGGGCGGGCAGCAGGGTGCGAGTGGCAGTGCCAAGGGCTGCTGCTGCAGTGGAAGCGGTGGAGTGGTCGCACAGCGCAGCGGCAACGGTGATGGCAAGTGACATGAGGCACATGCGTACCATGGGTATACCTGACCCGAGGGCGGGCACAGCGGAGGTGCTTGAGGAGCCCTAGGGCGTGTCTTGTGTAGCATTGGGCAGGGGGCCGGGGTTAGGGGGCCGCGTATTGGCGGAGGGAGGGAGCGTGGTGGCAGTGGAGGCCTCAAGCGGAGCTTGTAGGCCGGCGGCAAAACCAGACGAATGTATTGTGGAAAGGCGGCACGACACAGGATGGGTGCCGTATTGGTTCACCACAGTGTTCCTGTCATTCTGTCATGAATGATTTCTGAAACCTGAGCGTAAGCATTAATAGCGCCCGTACGACAACGCAGGGGGTGGACCAGAGCACACCTCAGCCTCCTGTGTCTTGAATTTCGCCCTTATATTCTTTGTATGTGGCATATGGCTGTCGTTGCGTACTAGTACCGTATACGGGACGACCTGGCCCTATTATTGGCCGTAGATGGCAATAATAAGTGTGTTCTCTGTATTGCACGAGTCTGCTGCTGCGCTGGAAGTGCCCAACAGATGAGGTGCAAGTTGAACCACGACTCAGTGTGTTGTCTTTGTTAGGACTGCTTTCAAGATGATAAGATGTCCACGTGAGGCAGCAGCAGTGCGCTGAGAAAGCGAAGATTGCCCTTCTGACCTGTACGCGCATGCTGCACTCCTGTGGCTTCTGTTGCCATGTTTCAGTTGCAAGGGACATGGCCCCTGGCAGGGCTCCTCAGCCTTGTTGTGTGTTGAGTGGGTGGTGAGATGAAACCCCTGTATGTGCTACGGTAATGCAGACCTGTTGGCTATTTCATACCGACCGTACATTATTTTGTAGTTACTCTCGACGTATGTACTGTGGGACAAGCGGACAACTCACTCGTCGGAATTGTGTGGGATGACTTTGGAAGTGTTGCCGGTCGGGTGTTTCTATTGTTGCGCAGCGCAATAAATGGCTGTGGTAGTCTTGTAGTGCTTTCCCGGACGGCCCCTTGGGGTCCAGGTACTCCACCTGACTTGCAAGCCGCACCCCAGCTCCAATGACGACACAGTTATTGCAGGAATTCAGAAGTCCTAAAGTTGATAGAGCCTTTTGGCGGCATTACCTCTTATCCCCTGTCTCACCTCGCGAAACGCAAGGACCCTTGGGACAGTTCCGACCCCCCGCATGCAGCAGCCGAAATAGCCAAGCTGGGTGCTGCCATTATGACGTGTACGTCTATGATACGAAAAGGCTGGCAATGAGGTGCCGCTCGCTCTGCTGCAAGACATTCGATGGCCCGGTGCTTGCCCTGGAATACAGAACTAACTGGAATGCGTTGAACCAAGAAATGCCTACAGTCATCCTGCAATGCTGATGGCAGTTGCGCACAGGATTGCAAAGAGGACAGATAGCTAACCGAAACGCATGGAACCTTTCGGCTCCGAAGGCAAAGAACATCGAATGTTCCCTGAGATCCTCGGATATCGAACGAGACCCTCAAAGAGGATTGTAAATGTAGATACCGCGCCAGGGTTATGGTGCAGTGCAAGCCTCATTCAGGAGACAAGTTTGTCTCTGTTTGCGTGTAAGGCTTGTGAAGTAGCACAGCCTACACAAAATCGGCTCATGGAACCTCATTCCCTTGCTCTCATTACCGCTTCTACACTAGACCCGCGTCACCATTCGCACCTCCATGGCACCCACGCTCGACGTGCACAGCCTCTACCGTTACAGCATAATCTCAGACGCCCCTTTAAGGGTCTAGCCCAAAGCCTAGCGCGCTTATTGCCGCAGCTGAGGCAGATTAGTCAGCGCTTGCGTAGGATTGCACCTAATGGCACTGCGGACGGCAACCCTGTGCGGCCTCTGCGAACTGCCGTCGCGAACGTCGACCCTGATGCCTGCACTGCCCCAGACTTGTCTTTTCCAGCCCCAACGTTGCAAACCCAAATCCAACCCAAACGCTTGGCGCGGTGGCGAGCCTGCTGCAGAGTCCAGTTCTTCAGGTTACGAAACAGACAACTTGACCATTGCCAGAAGCAGCAACGAAAGGAGCAAGAGGAGCAGCAGCAGCAGCCGCTGCAGCAGCGGGTAGAGGAGCAACAGGACCAGCAGCAATTGGACGCTCCCTCGCACGGCCCCTGCACGCAAGTTAGCGTCCACCCTCTACACCGACACGCGCACGGTACGCAGCGGTACGGGCCGCTACGGCAGCTGCGGCGCGTCTTACGGCTCATGGGAAGTCAATTACGTCCAGTGGTAAGGAAAGGGCGAAAGAGGGAAGAAAGAAGCCGCACGTGATAGCCATTTCTCGTCAAGCATGAGGAGTCCCCAAGCTCCATGCAATGATGCTAGTAGTGCTCCGTGTGCACGTCTTGGCGGTTCCAACTCGCCCCAACGCGCTTGCCTGCTGCTTGCAGGGCCCAGGTGGCAACGACAGGACGGTTTCGGAGCGGCTCCTTAATGTGGCCACGTGCGGCATGTTCTTCCAGGCGGGCGGCAAGATTGTGCGGTGAGGACAAGGGTGTGTCCTCGTGTGCCTTGTGGTTAGTGCGCTTTTACCGGTATATATGTCTAGCGTACCTTACCCGCGCCTTGCTCAACCCTGCTAACCACTCCCATATCCTCCTCCCGTCCTCCTCTCCCCACCCCCTGCCTCTCCATGCCCTTGCCCTCACCCGTCATCCCACCAGCCTCTGCAGCTCTCTCGCCGCGCGGCGCTTCGGCTGGGCCTTCATCGCAGTGGGCGCCATCGCCACACTGTACCATGGGTCGGTGGGTCGCCTGCGGCCGCTAGCGCGCAAGGTGGACTACTACTCCATCGCGCTGGCCAGTCTGCTGCTGCGAGCCGCGGTGGTGGGCCCGGCGCCTCGCTGGCTGGGTGGCGTCATGCTGGCCGCCACACCCTTCAGACCCACCCTGGTGTCGGGCTGCAATTTCATGGCGGTGGAGGTAAGGCTCGCACTCTCACTCCCTCTCGGGGTGCTGTTCGTGTCGTGTCATGGCCTCATGGGGATATAAGTGCGTGGGGAGATGTATTGGTATGCCGGTAGCTGATTGCCAGCATGCATGTGGCTAACCTGGCATTTGTGTAGCCTGCGGCGTGGCCCGCCGCCTGCTCCGTACCGCCTACTTCATTGTTTATTCATTGAAGCTCACGTACTGGGCCATCACACGGTGCTTCTCCTCCTGTGCTCACAGGAGGAGCACACGCCGCTGCTGGCGTGGTTCCCCTTCACGCACGCCGCCTTCCACACGCTCTCCGCCGCCGCCTTCCTGACACTGCCATCCGCGCTAGACCACATCACAGCCTCCGCCGCAGCGTGAGGCAGGCCAGGAGGTGGCAGCGAGCGATAGGGAAAGAAGATGAAGAAGGTGTACGTTTCATGCTGTGAACGCTGGTGGCAAATGTTGGCAGCGAGAGGAGAGGATGTGGGTCAGGGCATGTGGGTGGTGATGAGGTGTGTACGACGGCTATGTTGCAGTACCTAGGGCCTGACTTGTACCAGGTAGTAAGCAGGCAATGCGGTGAGCTTCTGCTGGGTTGGGCGAGATGAGCGAGGTGGGTTGGGTGAGCAGCGGGGGGCAGACTTTGGGACGATGGGTGGATGGGCGGTATGCAGCATCAACAGGTGGCAGGATACCGGTATGGCTGGACTACCGGTATCGGCGTGGCACCGGTATTGTGGTACGGGTGAAGAACTGTGTGGGCGATGTGGGCTGGGGGCGCAGTGCGCTGGAATTTCCTGTGACGAAAAGGGTATTATACCGGTTTATGTTTATGTCTTCGGCGTTGGCTGGCTGGCTAAAGGATGTTTCGTGAGGATGCCGTACCTCATGGCCGACTGCGATTCATCGGACTTGGGGACCGCATGCGGTAGCGGCCAGTATTCTTTTCGGGTTGCACTGAGCCGCCGGCGCGGCGCCCTATGATAGGGAACTTGGGTTATTGCACCCTAAGGGATGCGGTCGAAGTGACTAGTTGCGGTAGATATTTTGGGTTTACAGGTGCTGGGATGGCACTGTGTTCAGGATCGGCATGACAGGGACGTCAGACCGTGGTTATTGTTTCCCTGTAGGAAGTCTAGGCAGGGATTTGTGCGTATTATCCTCGACGTTGTGGCACACATACTGTATACTAATTATTGTTATGCCCTTAATAGCTTGTTGGTCGACTGAGCTATCTCGCTGGCCTGTGGCCCTGTACAGTAAGACGTGAGCTCGGCAGCGTGTGTTTATGCATGGCCTGCATTTGGGTCAATGAGAATCTTTGACGACTGTGGCTGGTATGGGCTGTTTACGTGGTTGTCCACAGCGTGGCTCCAGTGAGCCTTTGCTTTTTACGAGGCCTCAAGTTTACATACTTGTGACAGACGTAAACCGTTACAACCGGTTTGGTTTTAGTTGTGTTAGGTTTCAGGTGTGCAAGACGTTACCCTGTCACGTAATACACCAGGATTTTGTGGCAAGGCCTGACGCGGCACCCTGATAGTATGCTGCATGCACCCTTACAAGCTTACACATGTGGACATGACTTGCCCCGTGCATTAGTTTGCATGCGCCGTTAGCGTTACTGTTATCTATTGTTCGTTATTTGGGGAACACCCATGGGTTGCCGATGGACATGCCGAGGAAGCGGCGCAGGGGTTAGTTGGCACTCCAGCTCACTCCGGACTGTTAATGTTGATAAGTTGGACGATGCAGCAAGGCTTGTAACATGACTGCAATTGCCCTAATTGTGGCAACGTATGGAAACTGTGACTCTTTCCACGAGACTGCCTGCAGGGTGCCGGTGCACCGGTGCGCGACACCATGGACAGCCTCAAAGAGGGCTCATCCAGTCGTTAGTGCACGATGTGTTTCTGGATGAACACTTGCTGGCATACAATGCTTTCTTGGCTTCCGCGTTGTCGCAGCGTGACCTGATTCGCTCGGATGTTCGACGACAGGTTGCGCTTGGGGAAGTGGGTCACAAACACAGATAGCCTCAGAGTTGACCCAGAGTTGACTAGGTGGCATCACCTTAGTACTCTTATGTATCATAAGTATGTATTAATGCTTTTACAGGTGTAAAAGTAAGATCGTCGGCCCAATCGATCACCATGGTCTCCGTACGCTACACCCAGGCAAGTGAACATAGCAAAGCCCTCAGGTTGTGGTCAACATATACATAGTGAAGTGATCTTGTCGCTTTTGACATATAAGTGATTCTCGACTAAGCTCCTTGCGACAACCGAACTGAATTACCTAGCGACAACCAAATAAGGGTCTTCCTTGCTATTAGTTCCAACCCTTTGTTATATGTTATGCTCCCAGGGCTCAGCCCTGTGTTTTGATGTGCCTTTGCTGCGTGCTACTCTGACTGCCGATAATAGCTGGCATCCTTCATACAGCATAAGACTGGATAATGAGCGCCCCCTCTATACAATTCCACCACCTATAGTGGTAGCTAACACAACCTGTATGATTATCTGAGGTGCTCTGTTCGAGGTGCTATCGAGGTTCCTTAAAGGTGCTATCCACATAGCTTTTTCCTTCGAGAACCTAAACATTGTATAGATTGCAAATACTCTAGCTGTTTCCATTGATCGGTCAGCTTGCGTCAGCACTTCTGGCAACCGCCATCGACTCCAAATTCCTCGACGTCGACAGGGTCCCAAATTCCCGCCATGGGGGAAGCCATGATGGAGGTAAGCATGTTATAAAAGGTGCATTGCTGCACGACGCTATTCCCGTTGTTCATAGGTAACGTGGCGTTTTTACACTTGGCCCTCTGACCAGAACGGGATCTTCGCCAACGCCAAGGCCCGGGCGTTGCTCGAGGTAGTACGTCTAGCGTTTGAGGGCGGTATCGGCTTTGGCCCGGAGATGACGGGCACAGGGACGACCGAAGATGGCGATGCCTCCGTCGCCGGGGCAACAAGTAAGGCACTTCACGCTGCAACGTGTATAACCTTTAACATGTTGACGATCTCTGTACTTATAGCTGCAGATGCTGCTCGACAACAATGGAGGAGCACCAACGATCATGCAGCAGCGCAACCAGCACCGCTACCGCATCCACCGCACCGAGCGGCAAGCACAGGAAGCAGCTCGCGGCTGGTTCCAGGAGGCCCTTGCATGTGGTGTGGTGTCACCGCCACGCCACAGGTGCGTGAAGGCATGCCCCAACCGTTTTACACACACTGCGGAAAAGGTGTTGGATGCCCAGCCGTTACACGCAACATGAACAAACGCCACACTACGCCCACGCATACTTTCGCAAACGCTTTCATATCGCTTTACCCTGTTTCATTGGCCGTGTGCTTGTCCCCTGGCACATGCTAACAAACTCCAGTGGCGGAGACCCCGTGGCACTGCTAAGCTCCTCTGCAACGCCTGCGGAATCTTCTTCACGCGTTACGGCCGACTACCGGAGAAGAGCCAGGTGGGACAAGTACCGGTAGCTTGTGCTCAGTACCGGCCTGCCAAGGCGCTGCTGCTCCTGCCGCGCCGCTTACGACCCACATCAATTTATCTGACGATGGGCTCATAAACCTATCCTTGCCGCCGTACCTTTTCCCTTTACAGCACGCCCACAGTAGGGCGAGTGCGACAGCCGCAGTAGCAGCACCCCAACCCGCTGAAGTCGAGCATCCTAGCAAACAGGAGGTCATTAAAGCTGAGGTCGACGACACCGACAAGCAGCAGCCTACGACATCAACCTCGTCCATCGCCGGCGCCAGCCCTCACAAGCGCAAGGACGCACCACAAGCGGAGGCCGAGTTATTGCGTTGCATGGAGGAGTCGGCTGGAAGCCTCGTAGCAGGCGGCGCTGCAGCACCCGCGCTTTCCTCGCCAGGGTCCATGCCGCATTCCATGCCAGCATTGCAAACAGGCCTGGGGCGCACACTCTCAGGGCCGCAATTTTTGCATGCCGTCGGAGCACAGTCTGCGCCCGCCTTGGCTGCAGCAGCTGCTGCTGGCTTGCTACCCGTGGCGGCTAACAACCCAGGGGCCTTCCTGTCGGTGGCTCCATTAGATCTGGGTCTGCAACAGCTCAGCATGCAACAGCTGGGGTTGCTAGCACAGCCCTTGGGGGGCCTGGCGCAGCTGCCGGCGCTGTGCATGGGATCTATTGCGGACCAGCAATGCGGTGCAGTCGTTGCCTGCATGCAAGGCCAGCCCCTTGGCGTTCCTGGCATGTCGGGAGTCCCAGCGGAGCTGCTCGCTCGGCCCTTTACGCTGCCGCCCGGCATCCTGCCCAGTGGTGTTGCACTGCTGGGTGGGGCAGCACCCCCGCAGCCGGTGTACGCGAGGGCTTCGAAGCGCCAGGAGCGCCTGCCTTCGGGCGACTCGGATGATAGCAACGCGAGTACAGATAGCCACGCTCCGCACGGCGACGCAGGGTGCTCGCATGACGAGGACGACGGCGGGACAACTACAACCAAAGCCAGCGGCATCACAGCTCCTGCAAGCGGCACGGTGGCCGCGGCAGGCGCCCTCTCCTGCTCGCCGCCCTCCATGCCGGGGGTAATCTCGCCGTCGCCATTAGGCGAATGCCTGCCCGCAAGCTCACTCCTCTCAGGGATGCCACAAGCGAGCAATCCTCTGGCGCTTGTGCCGTTAGCAGGTGCCGGGCCTACGAGTGGAGTTGCGCTGGCAGGGAGTCTTGCGGGGATGGGTGGTGTGGCAGTGGCTGCAGGGATGCCATCCGTTGCTCAAGGGCAGGCACAATCCCAGCAGCCGGTGATCTACTTGCATGCACGCCGCTGCAAAGGGCCGCGAAGTCGCGCGGCTAGTGCCACACCTAGCTCATCAACCCAATCATGAGGACACAGTGGCCTGGGAATCGGTATGCGGGGCTCCGTGAAAGTGTTGGGACGTGTTGTTGTCGCAGCAGCTTGTATTTTTCTGTTCGGTAGCCGCATCGACTTGGTTGGCTGCCCAGATATGCGCAGTAGCTAGGTTGGGGCGTTCCATTGCAGGTTAGGCATTGGGCTCTGTCCGAGTGCAGGGCCAGGTGGTGTATGCAATGGTGGTATGATGTGGTGTGTTGCGCTTTTCATGTGGTGCGAACTTGATTCCTGGCTTTGCATGTGTGCGCCTGCCCATGGCGTGCAGGACGTTTTGGCTTTTTGGGTGTCCTTTATTTCTGTCATCGTATCTTGAAACCCCTGACCTGGTCCTGACTTTCTGCGCAAAGACTGCGGAGGCCTTGGCGTTTGACGTGCTACGAGGGGTTGTGAACACGGCGCGCAAGAACACGTCCAGCGAATCGCCACATTATTCACCTTTCGCTTGGGCAGTTGTTGATTGATTAGTGCGAGGTTTGCTGCTCCGTTGACTCCATGCCATGACTATCTCTTGTTTTTGGAGTGTACCATTATCCTCTCCGTCAATGTCGTCGTAGCTTCTACTCATTATCTTACGCGACGACAAACAATATGCATTCCTGGGAGGCTCTGTTCGTCAGCCGTATATGTTTGCCGGATAGGGGGCGCAATTTGTACGCAACTACTTAGAAAGCATTGACTCGACACCTGTATCTTTGATCATGGCCGTGTCGCCCGCGTTAATTGAGGCGGCTCAGTGTCATCTGTAGTAGGGACGTATGTTAGATGTTTGACACTCTTTGTCCGTAAGATGCCTGAGATTTCAAGGAGAGTGGGTCTTGACGGCCCGTATTTTATCCTATAGTATACGATATGGTTTTGTACCTTGGTGTTTGTTGGGTCGGGTTAAGAGCGGGATGGCTTGGGTGGCTTATGTTGGGGTGACGCAGTGGTCTATCTTCAGGGTGTGATATGGGATTGCGGCGAGGGCTAGACGTATACAGGCGAATGCGTCCCTTTGGTTTGGGTTACCCATGCACTTATGCATGCGTACTTGAGATGTAGCTGCGCACTTGAGATACCGGTAGCATATCATGTCCTAATGCTCTTGAACGAGTGGTAAGAGCCAATCCTCAACCGAATGCTATGCGGATACGCACGCTATGTATGTAAGCGTGCTTGCACCTACGCGGCTCCTGGTTGACATCCAGTGTTCAGTTGTTCACACTCCAAAAGTGTTATGTGACCCTTGAATGCTCTGTCCTCCCTGACGAAAAGGAGGATGGAACGAATGTAGGCTCTTGGACGGACCTGAGGTGGGCAGTCCGCATTCAGTACTTTGTTGCTACAAAGCAATTCTGCCACAAAGAATGGACAGATTGTTGCCTTAACTGCCCAAAGAACCTGCGAACAAGTACGCTCAGGTCAATAGCACAGTTACCACCCCGTGTGGGCAATCCAGGTCAAACCGGTGACGCAATGCACTGATCATGCCTTTGGACGGCATACGGCGCCGGACCAATAAACAAATCCACATCAGGCCTCCTCATTCTCCACTATTCACCGCCATTACCATGATAGAAACACTGTCAAAGTGTGTCACAGAATATAGCTTCCCTAAGCCTCCAACCAAGCGCCAAAGCTCTACGCACTGTTAACCGACCCTTGGGTCTCTAGTGCTGTTTTAACCTTCATTCATCGCGTTCGCCCGGCAGTCTCCTTGCCTTAGTGCCCATAACCTTTCTTGAGCCCTTTAGCGCGCATACGCGCTGATCTAGGCAGCCAGGCGCAGCCTAACGGTGCTGCCGGGAGTCAATCAACAGCCGCCAGCAGCATGACGTCATCGACTCGCGCCGCCCGCGCGGGCGGGCACACCTACGAGTTCGAAGTGAGTGAGGCGCTCGCTAGCGGCCTGCCAGCAGACGTGAAGGCGGCTCGGCTGATGCTGTATGCGGGAGAGAAGAAGCTGGGAGGCTCGGATGTGGTAAGTCGATGGGAGGCTTGCAGGGCTTGTAGGGATTTAATGTGATGCACAGCGAGCAGCCGTATTGCTAGCCATTTCTCCCCAGTTAGCCATTGATCCTATGAGCCGACAAATGAAGTTGGCTGCGGGGACTTGCGTCATTCATTGCAAAACTTCATCTCGCTTTGAAGGGCTACCTGTCGCGCCCACTGGTGACAATTGCCAAGTACCAGTCATTCATAACATGAGCTCCTAACAACGGCTGCCGTTTGTGGAAAATTCCTATCTCCTTGCGCTAATAATATTTTCGAAATGTATTTTGCGCTTGTTCTCTCCTGCTAGTCAATGCCCCCCTTCCCCTCCTCCCACGCCGCACCCACATCCCCTCCTCCCTCCCCTCTCAGGTGGAGCCCAGCTCCGGAGGCATCCAGGGCGGTACGGCAGCCTTCCGGCGCTTCCACTTCCGTACCAAGCTGCACCGCAGTCCAACCGCGCCCATGTCCAACATGCTGAGCCCCTTGGTGAGCTCTTGTGGGGCACATGGGGGTGGGGGCTGCACATGGGGGTGGGGGCTGCAAGGTATTGAAAAGAGGAAACTGACGAGCTGTATGGGGGGCGGCTGCATGGGGGGCCGCCCATGGGGGCCAGCTGTCCCACCTATCGGCGACCCATTGCAACCACAGCTGCAGCCCTTCCCTCCAACCTTCCTCTCTTCCTCCTCTCCGCTCTTTGACCATGCAAACCCCCTCGTTTCGCACCACCCTCGCCCCCTCCTTCCTCCCTTCCAGGCCGTCCAGCTAGTCCTGCAAGCCAAACGCGAGGGCAGCTCCCACCGCCGTACCACATCTGCCGTACCGCTCCTCTCCCACCTTCTGGAGGCCTGGGACGACATAGCGGTGGCCCCCCTGGACCTGGCAGCCCTCGCCAACCGCACCCTTTATATCGCGCTGGGGACTGAGATGGGCGCAATGCCGTCGGAGGCGGCGGCGGCGCCGGGAGGAGTAGGAGTGGAGGCGAGGGAGCGGCGACATGTGATGTGGTCGAATGTGGAGGCGGAGGGCATTGGTCTGCAGGTGGGAGAGGTGGGGGAAGAGGGGTTAGGATACCGGTATTGAGTTTCCATACCCTTGCAAGCTCTGCTCCCACATTGGTTGCGCCATTGCCTGTGGCCAATCCTGTCCCCTACTACGTCCTGTCGTTTCACTTACACAATTTATTTTACGCCCTTCTTGCCTCCTCCCTCCGTCCTCTCCTCCTCCCCCGCACAGCTCTCCATGGGCTCACACGCCGCCCCGCACGGCCACTCCTCCATGCGCCGCTGTCTGCACCCCCAACTCTCCGTGCCAGAGCCCCTGCCCACTGCGCCCCTCAACGCACCCATCTCGCCCAACGCGATACCCGTCGGCGCCTCAACCACCGCCGCCGCCGCCGCGCCCGCCGTCAACCCGCCCAGCTCCACCACCGGCGTCGGCGCCGGTACGGCATATACAACCGAGCCTGCAACCGCCGCGGCCATGGAAGCTGGCGGCGGCGGCGGTGGCGGCGGCGGTGGTAGTGGATTTGGGCTGGCTGCGAAGGAAGCCGTACTAGGCGCCTTGGCGGTGGCGGCGCCGCCAGCTGTGGTGGCGGCGGAGCAAGCTGGCGTCCCCAGTACGGCAGGCGGCGGCGGCGGCGGCGGAGGTACAGTGGAGGTGCGGGCGCCCTACCCGCCGCTGCAGCCCTCTGACTCTACCGCCGAGGAAATGGGTGAGAGCAGCAGCCGGGGTTTGCTGAGGCGCGGGGAAGGGTACGTACGACAGTAGAGCTGAGGAATGGGTGAAGAGTGACGTCCAATTCTTGTACAGCAACGCCAGCTTAAAGGGTCCTTCCGGTGCGACACCCTTCCTGTCATCCCCACTTGCCGACCTCCTCCGTCTACCGTTTTCCACATGCAACCCTGGTACCTCACTTGCCGCCCCTCCCTCGCGCCTTTCTACGTCGCCATACATACAAACGCAGAGTACGAAGGTCCCCGTCGCGCCGCTGTCTCGGGTGACTTCCCGCGCACCCCGCGTCCCTCCCTGGACGATACCTACTACTCCTCCACCGCAGCCGCCGGGGGCATGCAGGGCCTGCATGGCGGCGGCGACAACGGCCCCGCTGCTGCTGCCGGCGACAAAGCCACCACCGCCGCTGAGGGGGTGCTACCCGCAGCTGCAGGGCTGGCTGCCGGCATCGCGGCGCCCGCCGCCGCGGCGTCGCCGTACAGTCCCGCCGACACGAGCCCCGCTGGGCTGAGTCATGGTCGCGCCGCGGAGCAGTTGACGGATCCCCAGCGGGCGACTGCGGAGGTGGCGGAGGCGGGGAAGGAGGGGAAGGGGGAGATAGTGACGGTGCCTGCGTCACTGGCTCGCGAGGGGGAACTCAAGGGGGAGCGGGTGCCGGGAGGGGAGGAGCTGGCGCCGGCGGAGGCGCAGGAGCACGAACAAGCGGGTACCACCGGCGGACGCCGTACAGGCAAGTGGGCAAGAGGTAAATTATTCCCTACTGCTACCGGTATTGTCACGTCCCTACCACGTCCCTACCACGCCATCCTTCCACGCCCCCCCCTCGTATCCCTGCCGCCGCATGCAGGTACGACAGCCGCCGGCCTGGCCGGCGGCGCCGCCAGCGCCCTGGCCGGCGGCGCGGTGATGTCTCCCGCCCTAGGCGCAGCGGAGCGCGGAGCCAAGGGCGCTGTGGGCGGTGTGGAGGGGGCGCTGGCGGCGCCGGTGGATGCGGCGGCGGGGGCGGTGCATCGGCTGGTGGAGGGTGGCGTGTCGGCGGTACGAGCGCCGGCGGAGGCGGTGGATGCGGCGGTGGGGAAGGTGGCGGACGCTGCAACAGGTTAGCGAGGGCCTGGCGAAAGGGATGAGGAGGAGGGCGACTTGCAAGGCATGGAGTGTGTTTAGCGCTGTGCTGGCCGTCGGGCTCCTGTCCTTATGAGTTACGACTCGACACGCTTTGCTGGTTTCCCTTCCGCAGCCGCGGTGACTGCTCCCGCCTCCGTAGCCGGCTCGTTGGTGAAGGGCGCCGCCGACGTGGCGTTTGGGGCCGCCGCGGTGCCGGTGGCGCTTGCGACGGGCGGTCCGGGGGCGGCACTGGCGGCGGGGGCGAGGGCGCTGGAGGTGCCGCTGGAGGCGGGCCGGGCGGCGGTGGCGGGCGCGGCGGGGCTGGGTGCGGCGGCGGCGGAGCTGCCCGTCAAGATGGGCGCGGCGGCGGTGCGTACGGCAGCGGACGTGGTGGAAGGTAGGCGATGGCTTGTGAAGTTGTGATGGGCAGGGACTGATGAGACGTTGCAATGCTAAGCAGTAGGATGTGTCCTTCCAAGATGCATGTTTTCGGTTGTCCTACTTACCGGTACGTCGCCCCCCTCCTCCTTGTCCCATGTACCGATACGCGTGCAGGCGTGGTGACGCTCCCCGCCCGCGCCACCCGCTCCGCGCTTCAGGGCGCCACCGCCGCCGCCACCGCCCTGTACGAGGCTCCGCTGGAGGCCGCCAGGGTGCTGGGGAACGTGGCGGGAGGGGGCGCGGCGGCGGCGGCGACGGCGCCGCTGAGGGCCGCTGATGCCGCCGTACATGGCACCGTGGACGCCGTCACCGGCGCCGTCAACGCCCCTGCCAACCTGGCGGCGGCGGCGGGGCAGGGAGTTGTGGCGGCAGGGACGGCGGCGGTGACGCGAGGCGTAGAGGCGGTTGAGTCGCTGGCAAAGGGCGCCGTCGACGCTGCCGCCGGCGCCGTCAAGGCTCCGGTGCAGGGAGGAGCGGCGGCGGCCAAGGGCGTGTCAGGTGGGTAGCAGGGATTGGTTGTACGGTTGTACGGTTGAACGGTTGTACGGTTGTACGGTTGCTGCTGTACGGCTTGAGGGTTGTGTACGTGACCTACCTCCCGCAAGCCCTTGCCGCCTAGTGATAAAAGCATCTTTCATACCCGTCCCCCCTCCCGCGGCTCCCTCGCAGCTGCCGGCATCCAGGGCGCTGCAGCCAGCGGTGCGCCGCTAGCCCTCCTTGGTGGCGGTCTGGTGGGTGCACGCAGGGAGCACAAGGGCGGCACGACGGGACGCGAGGCGGAAGAGCAGACGCGGGAGCGGGAGTTGCACGAGGGGGGACTTGGGCCGGAGACGCCCGGTGCTGCGGAGACAGAACGTGGCGGCGCGGGTTTCATTCCCGACGCGGCTGGGGCTGCCTTCCGCAGCCGCTCCATT